TTAGGAAAAGTTGATATAACTAGTAATTTAAGGTGAAGATTGGTATTGTTGAGGAAAGTAAATAAATTGAAAAGTGCTTTGATTGAAACTATCTCCAGAAAGCATGAACAAGGAAAACATATTGCTGGCAAGTGAGATCAATTTGTAGTTTTATTGGTTGGAAAGAATTCGACGGTTTAGGCTGCTTGGTTAAATTAGCAAAATTACGAGCTGATATTACTATTAAAATAAAAAATTTTGCTCGAGAAAGTGTCTTAATGATTCTAAATACCCTTTTACAAGACCAGAAATTAATGCAATGAACCCTCTCTAGATAACGAGAAAGTCCACCGTAAGATTCTTAAAAGTTGAAAAGCAAACCATATCAATGATGTGGAATGTATAAGAAAAATAAAAAGAAAGTTCGGGTATGCTTTGAAAGTTTCAACTGTCAACATTATTGTATAATATTGAGAGTGTAGTGCTTTGAAAAAGAGATAATTTCATTGTGTCAAAAGAGTTACGATGCAAGGATTATAGTGACACTCGTTTTTATTTAAAAAATAGTTCGATCAAAATGAGAAAACATTGCTTGACAAAGCTCTGCCGAATCACAAATAAGCCTTCAGATAAAAATTTATAGGACAAAAAAAGACATTATTAAGCAGAATGAGATGGAATAGAAAATGGTCCTAATATTATCCTAGTAACGAGGCACTAGCCTCTTTGTGCAAGACCAAGAAGAATAATCAAAACGAGGCTTACTATTGCAAAAAATGGCTTATCTATAAACCGTACGCGTGAAGAATAAATGCAGCATGCAATGACATTTGATTTAGAATAAGTTTACTAGCATTTTTTATACACCATGAAATGTGCATTATTATTCTAGTGTTCTGATTAGTTGTTTTCGAAGACAATAGTTCACTTCTATACTTATTAAAGGCCAGCAATTGAAATCTTACAAGTTTGTAATGAACAGAAATCCTCTGACAGCCTGACGTTTTCTAACATTTTTCCGCTCGATGTTTGGGCCATGCATTGTTCCCAATTGTGCAACATTCCACGAACATCCAGGTATGTGGTTATTTTTCTGTTCTAGTTAAATGTTTCATCCACTGTATTCGGCTAGGTGGTGTGGTGTATCATTTAAAGGAATTTACAAAATATAAAAGTGACTAGTATCAGATTTGATAGTTACGTTGCCTTTGCCAAGATATGTTAATTCTCTCAAGTGCTGTCTCTTATTGGTTTTGGTTCATTTTTTGATTGCGGGTCCTCCAGCCAAATGAATAATTGAAAAAAGAAGTTCCATGAAAAACATTTCAAAGATGCAGTTCTACTCGTGTATTAGACTTGTTAATGGAACTAAAAAAATGCGCTTCTTGCTAAGCTCAGATTTGCAGGACATGTCTATTCAGATAAGATTGCACGAGTTCCTGATAATTTATCAATCAAACCGAAAACACATTTGGAAGCTCTTGGAAGTGACAGACAGCAAACATGGCATTTGCTTATTGGCCACCATAAATCGGTTCTGCCATATTCTTTCGGAAGGCTTTTTGCCAAAAGCCGTTGGAAACAAATCAAGCTTTGGCTAGGCATAGGTTATCAAGAATGATCTCTCCTGTTTACCTAGGGTATTTAGCACGGCTTGGGTGGATTAAAGCGCATTCTTGGAAGTGAACGGCGACCCCTGGTCCTTTAGCAACATCAAAGGTTACTTCCTACGCTGTGTAAACTAAACGTTGTCGCAGATTGGAGAGAAATATTCATATCGTATGATATGTTAAAAACGAGGCTAGATCTTTTGTGTTCATAGAATCGAGGTACTTTGATAGCACTGATCTCTATAAAAGGCTTTTATAGAGATCAGTGTTTGCTAACAAAAACATTCTTGGAATTGTCTAGTTTCCATGCTGCTCGACCTGATAGTCATAAATAAGCATAATTAATAGTCATAAATTAGCATGATTAATTATTTCAAGTAAAGAGGGTTAGGGTTAGGGTTAGGGCTAGGGTTAGGTTTAGGGTAAACTAATAACGTCTTCAGGTCGAGCAAAATGGAAACTAGACAACTCCAACGTTCTTAGCGATTTCCCGTTTTTTCTTTGGTATGCGAGAAATGGAATGTAAAATGTCCTGTTGTCTGCTTATTCAGATCAAGAAGGAGGTAACAAATTCTTTTGGATTTTGCGGCATTTTACATGGATAAGAAATGTGTCCGCCGAGAGGAAACTGCTGCAGAACAAAAGTGTTTTCATTCGTTATTTCAAATTTTCTCGGCAAGAGGGAAATTCCTAGGAGGATGATAATTGTTGCACAAGAGGTCCTGTGAGCCTGGTTGAGCCTAGCGCTCAATAACAACTAAAGTCGAAAAAAACTACATGATCAATGCGATAATCATCATTAACACTTTTGATCTAACTGTTTTCTTCATTGAAATAAAGTATTCTCTCCAATTAACGGACACTCTAAAAGACGGACACCTCTGATTAGCGGACAAATTTTTTTCCCCGATCGTTTTCTGGTCAGAGTCTCATAAAAAACTTTCTAAAAAGCAGACATTTAATTAGCGGACACTTTAATTAACGGACAATATTGTTTGCACAAAGTAGTCAATGGGCTTTTTTTCTTTTCAATTAGCGAACAGTGCAAAAAATTTAGGAGCCAGCGAACAAAAAAATGTGACGAATGAATATTTGTTCAAATATTTATTTCAAACAATTTGACACTTGACAATCTAGTTGGCTTTTTACAGATTCGAGCTTCTTTACTGCCAAGTTTACTAACTTTTCTTGTCCATGAAAGTGTTTTGATTCGCTCAATTTGGTTTTTTTTTTTTTTAGTGTCTAAGTTCAACCCGATAGCCACTAATTACAAAACAAGGGTCTATTTTCAACTTTGGGACTTACATTGCAAAACTTTCCAAAAGGCGGACACTTCCAATTAGCGGACACCTTGCTCTGGCCCCTACCGTGTCCGCTAATTAGAGAGAACAGAAACTATGATTCCACGAAACTTATTTAAGCCAATTTTCAGCACACGCAACCAATTGCATTCAGTGTTTTGAAGCGATCGTAAATTTAAACTGCTCGCTATTGAACACATTTTGAAACATCTGAAATACTTTCTTGATTTTCAAGGAATATTGCTGAAATAGGTCTCTTTTCAAGACAATTTCTTTTCGGATATTTCCGCATATCCTCTGATTTGCATGCTTATACGATTTCTTTTTTCGTACGGTCTCTGAGACAGGTTATATTCTTATCCATATAAAAACGAAAAAGTGGTATGGAATATCAAGAATTTTGGGATATTTTCCTTTTTTTCAAATATTTTCAGAAAGGGGATAGAAGTTACCAATTTGATTTGGAATACGAATGATGAAAAAAGAAGACAGATTGGAACCTTGATGCCACCTCTAAAAATATATATTTACTGAGTTGATTTTCGCAAAAAATCTCAGGTATCTTTCTTTTTTTATATAATTGACGTTAACGATAAGTGTTCTGATATAAATTTTAATCAACTGTGATATTCCACATGACTTGTTATATCTCAAAAAGGCCATGGAGTTTTTATGAAAAATTTCACAATAATTAAAATTTTTACTCTTTTCAGAAGTCATCATTTCGTTTTAAAAGAACATCATTTTGCTTAGATGATTTTGATTTTATAACGTTGAGGTTTATATTCATGTCCTTCTGTAATGGCTGGTAAATTTTGTATTTGTTTCTACCTAGCATCTGAAGCTAGTTCCAGGCTTTCCTTTGTGTTTCTTGGGCGAGATTTCATTTACTTTTGTTTACGTACTTCTTTAAACATCAGAGTCTTAAACAAAATCTTTTATACTGAAAATAGGACCTTTAATGTAAGTACTAGTTAACCTACAATATCCTGAGACCTTTGTAATTGTTGCGGCTAGAAGTATACTTGTCATCTAGTGCAATGTCACGTAGATATCATACTAATAATGAGAGAAGGTCGTAAGCAGGCGTTTGTGGTCGTATCCACGAATTTGTTGCTTTCTACTTACATTTTGCTTTCTTTAATATCCAAAATTGAACATTGTCTAGATAATTCTTAATTCATTTTTGATAATTCAAAAATGGATTCGCGGATAGATTGGTTGCTAGCATCAAAGGAGATTGATATGCTTTCATTCGACTTCACAGTAAATGAAACGAAACGTGAAAATTTCAAACAATGAAACATCAAAGGGAATATTTGACCATCGCAGTCTAATGCCTGGTCCTGTTTCAAATCTGTTACAAACGCAGATTGCATTTTTATGAAGGACACAAAGGAAAAAAGATGCTTCCTACAGCAACATTAATTTGAATGTTTCTAAAGATTTAGTCATAGGGCCTTTGATATTGAACATATATATATTGATGATTCCGTATTCTTGGCAGAACATAATATTCAACTGTGCTAAGGATAAGATTGCTTGTAGGGCTACAATGAGACCAAACACAAGGAATTGCAAGGAAAATAGGTGTTAAATTTGGTTTTAAGATTGTTCTTGAGACAAAATGTCGCTAAAATGTCACTTGCTGGCAATTGGAAGTAGTATAAGACGAACTGCCTTTTAAGAGTTTTCAAAAGCAATGCTATAAACAAAAGCACTATTTTCGTTTGTGGAGATTACAACACACAGCAGTTGTAAAGTGTATTGCTTTTGCTGCAAAGGTATATATGCAAAGAAACTCTGACAAGAACAATTAGCGATTAAAACATTAGCTGAGTACTTTTTACACGATAGCAACTCTGATAAGTAATTTTCGGCCAAAATCAAAAGTGAATATTTAACATGATTTTCCAAACTGATGACATACTACTTTTAATTACAACAACAGATTCCCTAATTGCTAGAATATACAGAATTTTGGTTTACTTCCAATGAAGTTTTGAGTTATATAAAGATCCTTGCTTGGATTTAGTTTTTAAATGAACTGTGTTTTAGTTTCTTTGAAATGAAAAATTGAACGAATCGAAAAATATATCGAATAAGTTGAAAAATGTTGTTGCATTCTACAGAACTAATTATTTATTTTCTTTTTGTTTTAAAGTTCAGTAAAATATGTTTTTAGTGTCAACAATATTCTGCAATAGATTAACTACTTTTATCAATGATAAGAGAAATAGAAGTTCAATACTTCACTGACACAAAGAATTTAAATTGAAATTGAGTGCAAATCTATAATAGGAATATTATTCTTTAAGGCAATGTGGTCCACCTGGTCGCATTCTTTGATGTTTTTAACTTCTTATACCTATTTATTGTTTGGAAAATAAATTAAGAAGATTTTTTCTTAAGCAAAATGAAATTGAAACGATAAAGCTAAGGGAAAAACAAAAAATAGTTAAATTAAGTTTGTGTTAAAGATTCCAAAGATTGAATCTGATTTTTGATGTGTCCTAGTGAAGCTAATCGCATAGTTATGGGCACACTTGTTTGAATGTGTATCTTTGATATAAATTTCATTTTGAGGATCAGGACAGGTGTTATCCCCTGTGGACAATAGTATTAAAATATGTGCATAAATCATATCTAGCCTCTATTCCAGTTAGCACGTGTTGTAAGTCAGTTTTTTTGTATGTACGATTATGATGAAGATAAATATACTTTGAAATCATTTTACGTCTCAATATTTGGTTTATTACACAGGCTACAGAAGTTTTATTTCAGCAGAAGACAATCCAGGCTTGATACGAGTAGGTGATTTAGCCAATCAACGTTGACCATTTAGCGATTAAGACCAAGATAATCTAATAAGAGAATCTTTTATCTTATCTTGTTAAGACGTATTCAAGTTTGACTATACGATATTTATATGCTTAATCAACTAGAGCATTTTGAAAAGAGCTCGTTTCATCTTCAGCTAATAAAGAATTAGTTACTATATTAATAACTAGAAACGTAATGCACAATTGCATCAAATGATTGTTATAAAAAGATAAAATGTGCATTTTAGATAAAAAGATGTACATTTCCTTTCAATTTAGAAAAACATTTCGTGTAAAAAATCTTTTTTTCAAATTATAAGGTGGTCAAACATATGAAATTAGCTCAGGTCTTAAGATAAAGTTATGCAGCACTGAAAAGATTTGCAAATCGATTAGTTATTTACAGTCGATTGGCAAATGTAAAAGGTATAACAGTCCGGTTTACTTTTATGTTGTTCTGATAAACAAAATTTGTCAATCTTTTGAATAATACAATTAAATGAGAAAGCTTAAAAGTTAGAGCTTGAAAGTCTCTAAAAGTTAGTAGCTTATAAGTCTAGTAAATTATCACGAAGAATAATTTGATGTTAGTTAGGATTTGTAAACTTCGCGAAAAATTACGTTGCAGTGTAAATAGGAGTTTAAACGACGCAACAAAGAACGTTATAGACTGCACGCATGCTAGATAATATGTAGACCTTGGGTGGTTGTCTTCACTACTTTTGCTGGATTCCTCTCCTTCTCCCACATTTATCTGACCATAGTTATAACTTTAAGCTCCTTTGGCTGTTTATTAGAAAGCTGAATGTTGCATTGTACCGTTTTTTTGTAATCTTGGATCTAGTTATGATATTGTGAAGGATTCTTACAGAATCCAACAGCAACAACACCAATGGTTAACATGTGATATATACCTTCTCAATGTGCCACGTGTAGCTATTGCCTCACATTTCAGACGCTACAATAAGACCTCATATCTGATAGGAGACGACGGTTGAGTTAAATTAAAGAATTAAAGAACGCCTGTTAGTTAAATTAAAGAACGATTTTTGTAAAACAGTATAATTAAACGGGTCAAAAAGAACCTCTGCTCAATCAATCACATATTCTAAAAAGTTTTTTATGAAGCAGCTGTCAAGTGTGTTTGTTAATCAACGCGCTTTCTTTAGTGACTGTAATAAATTGAGGCAACTTTGGCTTAAAAAGCAAAACAAGGAATTTTAATTAGGGCTCAAGTTTTTGCTCAAGTTTTGGCCAATATTTGCTCAGAAGAATATGGAAAATTTGAATGGCGGCAATAAACATAGAAAAATTGTGTCTGCAAAACACAGAACAATAGAAAATATATTTACAAATATTTAAAAAGGTATTGATATGGATCATTTGCCACTTATGTATAACTCGTCGACTGTGTTATCCAATATCCTTGATTTATCCATCTCATTTAACTATAAACTGATTCAGCTAGAGCTAACCTGCTGGTTATATTAAGCAGGCTATCGTCTACTACCACAGATATGTATTCTGATTTGTTCTTATGCAACAGTACCGACCAAGTGTCTTTATCGAAGGCTATGACAACACAAGCCATTTTGCTGCTTGCAACCGATTTACTGGTGACGGTCTTAACAACAGTTGGGAATGCACTATTTATGTTCGCATTGTGCACAGACAAGTCACTGCACGCGCCTTCAAATGCACTCATTGGGTTACTTTGTGCTAGTGATTTGTTGGTAGGGTTTATTTGTCAACCTTTATTTTTGGCACATCTGTCACAACTTATCATGGAGTACAGGATAGATGGAACACAGCTCAATGTGCTCTTTACTGTTCTTTACAACGGTAGTGGTGTATCTTTCTTCTTCACTATTTTAATCAGCGTCGATAGATACCTGGCTGTATGTCATCCTTTCAAGTACCATGCCAAAGCCACGTACACTAAGCATCTTCTTGTGGGCATATCATCAGGATGCCTATGGACAATAACATTTGGCTCTATCAACTACGTGCAAGACGACGCACTTGTAAATACATATGTGAAGATAACTTATTCCATTTCTGCTTTATCAGTAGTAATATTTTGTTACGCTTCAATATACCGCGTAATCAGGAAACAGAGAAGGAATGTCATCACAATAGGCCGAATCTCTAGAGACGAAATAGAGACCAATGTCAAAAGGAAGAGAGAACAAGACAGGTCTAAAACAGTAGCCATCATAATTGGCTTGATTGTTATTTGCTACGGCCCTTTTTTTATAGTGAAGATTTTGGGAATGTTCCAGTCATCGTTCTGCTGGAACTCTGCCAACGACTACAGCAAATCAATATGGACGGCTTTCTGCATTTTGTTGAACAGTTTGTTCAATCCAATTGTCTATTTTGTACGGTCCAAAGAATTTTCATCATCACTTCGCAGAAAATTTCGACGATGTTATAGCCAAACTTGTTGAACATAGACTTCCTCATATAACTGAAACGTTAACGCTTAATCTGTTATATTGAGACAAGATATATTTTCTTCTGCAGAGATGCACAAAATGTCATGACCCTTTTGACATATGCATCCTCTACGTCCAGTTTCATCATGGTAAGCTGCTTGCTACTTGGATGAATCCTTCCATTTACTAGTCCTTGGGAAATCCCCACAAAATGGTGGATATATTGCACAGCTTACTTAAAGGTAATGTGTCCAGCTATAGCAAGCGACTCTGCGGGGGTTTTTAGAAACATGTGATTTTTCATGTCATCGCCCCAGCCACTACGGTCGTTTGGTTTATCTATACTGCTGCGAGGTTAGCTTTTCATGTGAGCAGTTTGCATCGCAAGAATACTAACCAATTGCAAACTGTTATTTTGATGGGTGGCTTGACAAGTTGGGTATACGCAGTCCTTTTATATGGACACATTACCTTTAAGGGAATAGAAAAATTAATTAAATACAATACAGCGTTGTCTGTTCTTGAAAGTTCATCACTTCAAACGTAATCTAATCAGGCAAAATAGCAGTTAGCATCTTCTGTAAAATCAGAAATTAATCAGAAGTTACAGAAATTAAGAAAATACTTGAAACACCTATACCTTGGTAGTCCTAAATTCTTTCGGCAATGAACATTTCTGTGTCACCGTGATTTTGTACAAATAGATTGATTTCAGAAAATAAATTGATTGATTGCTTAACAACTTGGTATTTGCTTTGAAAAGAAGACTAGGCTGAGGTACTATTATCATGAATTTTAAAAGTTTATTTTCCAAGCATTCAGTCATTAAGCGTTGTTCGTTGCTTCTATTGCAGTAAACAATTATGATAACCATTGAACACTAAAGCGGGAATTAATTAAGGCTTCTAACTGGCTATTGGCTTGGCCAAATAACTCTGAATAATATCTGGATCTAAATCAAACCGTAGTCTCTTCATAACTTCCAGCAAAGATAGCAGGACAATAAATATAAGCATAAATAAAAACTTGAGCAGTTTGACTTTATTAAAAATCTTTGAGTAATTATAGATAATAAACAAAGATAATTATAAACAAGTGACTACAAAACTGTGTAAAGGAATTGGAATCCCTTGCGAAGTAGGACCCACTTGTACCAAAAAGCATACCTAGAACACAGTATATATATAGTTTCTTCAGACACAAGTACTTTGTGGAATTCTTAACTAGGGCTGTGCCAAAAATCATTGACTGAACCAACAAAATTTTATTCTCGTAAAGCTATTGGCGTTATTTATTCTGCAAATTATTTTGCCAGGAGTGTAAAGTATATATAAGCGTTTAAAATACGTAGTTGCGTTGAAATTTGCAAGCTAGAAATTTTTAAACACATGTTTAAAGTTTCCCGAACTCTTGTAAATGAATTTGTTTGAACAAAATGGCTATATAAATACGATACAAGGCAATCCTTTCGTCGTGCTTTCTCTTTACTAACCATATCAAGCTACTTTAAAATAAACTTTGTTATTTTTTATGGGATTACACTCTGGGAATTCTTAGCAATAGACTTGAATTATAAGCCAAATAAAAATTGCTTCAACATAAAAACAAAGTATTATCTATTGCCTTACAAAATGACAAAAGCAACCAAGAAAAGTTGATCGACCTCTTATAAAAATATTTTGATACACATCTTTTAGATTTTAATTTTTTTATTTTTCACTTTCTTTTCTTGCTGTTGATTCCTTCTTGTTGTTATTCATTCATTCAAGTTCAAGCACTATTGTTAAAAAATCATGCTAAACGCATAGAGGTAGATGATAATAGGGGTTCACTTTAGTTTTCTTCGTGTGTCCCTCAATGCTTAATTTATCAAGCAATGCAATTAAACAATATTTGCTCAAAAAAAATTGGGGTTGACATTTCGCCGTGGCACACAAAAAGCGAAGAAACAGACGGGTGCAAATGAAAGATGGCATGTTTTACTTCTAAATTGAACCAAAGACTGGACGAACAGACTAATAGACCTTAAGACTAACATGAATCACGATATGAATAACGTGACATAGACTGTATAAAACGCTTTAGCATAACTTTAAAGCCCTAGCCACTCCTAAATTTTGAAAGAAGTTCCTGTCTGGAAGTTCTATCCTACTTTCTACAGTTCTATCCCACCTGGAACATGTGACGCAAACTTTTTGAAAAGATTTGTCAATAAAAATACTCTTAGATAGATATTGAGATTCTAGTGGAATGGGCTATATAAAGGACAAAAGTTAATATCCATTGTAGAGAATTTCACCTGTCAGTTTCACCTGTCATATAGTGCTGGGTGCAGTATAGGCAGAGCTTTCTCGCTTTGGTTAATAGAGCGGGATTCAGGGCTGTCGCTACAGGGGGTGGGGTGTGGGGGGATGTGACACCCCCAGACCCTAACCTTGTCAGCAAATCTTCGAAAATGGAAGTTGTTTTGTCGGCAAACTCTTGGAAGCTGGCAAATTTTCAGAAGAAAGATAGAGCATTCTACCATTTTCAAATAGATATTATCGGTTGTTGATGACAGCACCAGTCACTGTTGAAATTGGTGAAAACCTATCGAGAATGATTGATGATCGTTCAAACTCTCTTATGCTAAAGGCCAGGTGCGGTCTGGCCCGGGTGGCAAAGTGGTGATCCCCACCGGGCCCTCAGACATGTAAAGTAAAGGAAAATTACGGGCCCTTTCTGCAAAAGTTAGAGTGGGGAAGATAATTTCATAGACTGAGACACTACAGTCAGAGCCAAGACCCTAACATGCGTGCTGGCTTCACAACTAAGCAAGTCTGCGCGCAGGCCAAAGGGCCCACTATGATCAACAACCACTATACAGAAATTCTATTTCAAATTTCGCACAAAGAAAAATTTGTCCTACTTTCTAGAAAAATAATTTGAAACTGTATGTGGGAATCAAGGAGCTGTTGTTTTTAGGTAGTTTTCTGGAGTCGCCATTGTTACATTTCTAGGTAATAATAATAATGACCTTCCATACATTATCAGACGTTCCCTAGGGTTATATCAGTCTAATGGAAGAAAGTTGCGCAGGAAGAAAGCTTCTCAATTTGGGAAATCCTTGGAATCATTTTTCCGAAAGAAGCGAAATAGGACTTTTGCAAAAACAAACTTTCGCGTTTTAGTGAAAATCATGAACTTTGCTTGAAAAACATTTCTATTCAATTGAGGTTTCCTTCTATTTTTATTCCACGTAATACCAGCAAACAACGAGAAGATGTAAAATTTGTCTAAAGCAATCATTCTTTATCAAAGCTTTCAAGAGGATCAACAGCAAAATTTTCTGGATATTTCACAAAATAAATTTTCGCAAATTTAGTATTTCGGGAAGTTTCGCGTATAAACGCTAAAAACGCAAAATTTTTTGCTTCCCTCGAAAGTTTCTACCCGTAAAAATTTCTTCCTTGAAAGTAGCAAGCAACAGACAAAGGCCTTCCCCGTCTCCCCTTCAAGTTCTTCTTTTCTCTGAAACCCTCTGAAAGGTGCATGCTTCAAAAGGTATATTGAAGTTTTTCTGTTTTCAAATTGTTAAATGAACAACGTGTTTAAAAGTAAACTGTTTGGTACAGACTAAGGAATCTGTATCATTTTAAGTTCTCTTAATGATGTTTTAGAGCGAAAAAGTTTGTAGGTTACTTGATTTCAAATTGTAGCCAAGATACCAACCTAGGCAAATGAAAAGATGACACATAAGAAAAGAACATGCATGTTGAATTTTTGATTATTTTCTTGGCTCAATTTCAGAATATTATATATATTAGGCCTGCTTGAGAATATTGCAAAAAGTGTTAGACTATGATTATTATTTTGAACTGTTATTAGAGTTTCTTGGAGTTGCAAATAGAACCATTGTTTTGCTGTTATTGTGCAGAGTTTAACTCCATACATAGAATACTTGATTTAAATAGAGACCACAACCGTCAATAATTGATTTGAACTGAGCATATTCTAACCTTTTCTTGCATTAGTTGGTGTGACTCAAAAAAGTTTATCTGCCCCACTATGAACAGGGACATTTTGGTTTGCTAGCCACTCTGTAATTATGACACTAAGCAAAACTGAAATATAGCAGAAATAAGTGCTGAACAGTTAACAATAAAAACTATACATTTTAACAGTTCCATAGATATTTTTTTCGTTTTGAAATTATCTACAATCTCCAAATGTCTGAGAATAGATATTTGTGAGTACTATCAATGATTATTATAATCGTTTAAGAATCACGCTCGAATCTGTTGCCACACTCATTTTTTTAGCAAACCACTGGATTTGCACTTGCAAAGGACCTTTTACTTTGAAATCTTTTCAAGTAGCTTTTTTGCCCTGAGTTAGAGTAAAAATTTCAATTACCTACAAATTTCTACTATCTGAATATGCCAAAAATAAACCTATCTGATTTAAAGAACAATGTACTTTTTTAATTACATAGTTTCCCGATATTCTAATACTTCTAAAAGTCAATTCAGGAAAAGCGACAGCAGTTGTATGAACATTGCCATGTCATATTATTTTTGAAGGGATGCAAAACATTTAGAAACCTTTGTTAAAATGATGCAGTGCAGAGTTATTAACAAGAAGCTCTAACAATAACATGGAAAACATTTGAAGTGAAAGGAAACCATGGAATATGTTTCTATATCAGCTTGAAAATCTGTTTGTGATACCTGGAGAGGAAAGAGTGGGTATTGTTGCAAGCATCCCATAATGCCATTGTGCTATGCAAGCATCCCATAATGTATTTTTAGACTGTCTGAAATCAATTTTGGTTAATCTGTAGAAGTTTACTGCCATTGTTTGGACCGTCAGCGCGCTCACAAAGGACCATTGTTAGCAATGAGTCTTTAATGGGAAAGTTATAACAGGGAAGGAACAAAAAGTAAGACTATTTTATATTTTGTCACAACCATGAACCAACCATGGGAATATACTTTATGATTTTAGGCTGATTATACATAAATTATATAATACTTTCCAAATGATCACTTTTAGTAAATGGCCAGCAATGGATATTTGATCTATTGCTTGAGGGGAGCAGCATTCACACCTTTGGCAAATTGTTCAGGCTATGTAAACAGAAAAATAGCATTCCTTGATTAATCCTACAATGTTACAAAACTTCTTAAAAGGCAAATCAGTTGAGTATTTAATAACAGAATCTTAGGAATGCACAGAGCAGAGAATGCAAAGATATTTTCAACATCATCATGTCAGATATTGACAAAATTTCACCTAATAAAAAATCAAATATATTCTTCCAATGCGGTTGAAGTCACCAATAACCATATATATTTATTAGACCATGATCATAGTGATAAAAAGAATCAATGGCAAAAAACAAGTTACAACATAAAAAAATTCAAACTAGAAGGAGCAATGGATTCATGATTTCACATTGAATGTTAAAAGAAAAATGTTTCAAGGAGTTTTTCAGAATCATTATTGTTGTCAGCAGTAGTTCATAAACAAACTGATATTTACACAAGAATAAGTTTTATAAAATCTGAGAAATTTTACAAGTACTTCGAGTGGTATAAAATTTGAATTATTATACTACTAGGTTTCAAACAAAAGTTAAGTTTCTATCTTGATTCATGGCCCCCTGTTTTCACACATAGAAAGGTTTTCCTCTTTTGTTACACTATTTTGCATGTATTTATCACATAGCATAGTAGAATAGTAATTAAAAAGCCAAGGAAATTATTGTTAAGAGCAAACATCCAAAAAGCTGGCCAGAGTCTGTTTGTCTACATATATTGGGCTTAAAATAAACAAATACTTTATTTATTTTTTCAGTGTCTTATAGCATTAAAAATCTTTACATCGTGGTATTTATCGTAAAAAATCTCAGAAACTAAGAAACTTTTTTCTAGAAGCTTTAGAAAGTCTAAATCTCGCTGATAACGAATCCTACAGGATAAAAGTATATTGGTTAATTTATTAGAATCTGTTAAAATTTTTAAGGTTTCTAACAGTTCTTGGAAAGTTTCTTGAACATAGACAATATCTGCTCCCAATATTAAATCCCATGATGTATCCTTCCACTTATCTAAGTCTACTCCCCAACATAGCTCTTTCACTTGCCAGAAGTTCTTCCTACCGTCATCCTCATTCAGGTTTCTAACTACATTTTCTCTTGTGATTTCAAGAGCCGCTTTGGTATCAGTTATAACGACATTCGCACCTAAAAGGTAGCCAACGATGCCAACCAAACCTGTTCCAGCTCCAAGTTCAAGAACATTTTTCCCTTGCAATGTATCTAGGCCTGATAACTTCGTATTGCCAGTTGATATATTTTGCAAAAATGTTCCAAGGATAAGAGCAGCATCCCACACAACACCGGCAACTCCAGAATTTGCCCAGTTTTGATTTATTTCAATTGTATGATTTGCATACTTAAAAGAACGCGTTTCTTCATGAAACATAGGAAGATAGTCATTTCTTGTGTACGGTACAAGCGCCATCTTTAAAAAAAGCCGAAACGAGGTTCCTACCTGCTTGTGGTGCGGGGAGATGGCGTATGTACCACTTCTTTTCCACATTTTACGCCCGGGGCGGACTGGCTCCAAATCTAGGGCCCGGGCAAATTCGTCGAGAAAGGGCCCTGAAATTCAAATTAAATTTACGGGTATCTTTTGTGGCAACATTTTTATAGTTGTCTTAAAAGGCTGCTGGGATATTGCTATTAGTTTTCCTTAATTTACACCACATAACTTACGAAACGCCAGATTCATCACAGTGGAGCCACATTAAAAACAGGATTTAATACCGTATCATGCAAATGTAGCCAAATAGAATTACTGCATAAGGAAATGAAATACTCAACAACTTTACAAATATTCAAGAAAAATCTCGGAATTTTCATCGTTCAATTGTACTTGTGATCTTTGCAAGGAATACGTATGCAACATCTGTTATACTTAATTTACGTTATATCTAGCGTTGGTAATTTAAATTAGTTGGTTTTAATTAGCTTGAGTATTGCTAAAGTTTGTAGCAACTTTAACTAAATGAAGAAAGAATAAATCCAGGGATGTAGGCATTGGCGTAAAAGATTAACATGGGGTTTCTACAATCATTTATTTGGGTCCGCGTCATTTCACTGTATTGCCTAGGGTTTTATTGTGATGTAGGCTAAGAGGAATGACTTTTAAATGGGGGAAGAATGTAGTAAAGAAGATTTAACGGCAGGTTGTGATCGAGAATTTATTTTTCCTATAGTTTATGAATTTCTAGGGTTAAATCTGGCTGCATTACGCGTCGCTGTAGTGTTTCTACCACTAAAATTTTGATTGATGGATGGCTAGACCCCTCAAACATAAAAGTCCGCAATGAAATAGTATCATCCAACAAACAAATCACGGGCCTAATGGATTGTCTCAGTTATTCAAATAAATCTTGATATGTAATTTTCCAGTCAAAGCACATTGGGGGTTGTTAATTTTTCCGATCATTAGTTGAGCAGCTAGGTTAATTGATTGGTTGAGCAGCAGACATTATGAAAATATTAGGAGCTTAGGCAGGGCTGGTTAAACGTTATTGGAAGGTGGTAATGGGGGGGGCAAATTGTTTAGATTGCTCCGGGGTTTACCGGGGCAACCTTTTAAAATGTTTTTAAAAATGTTAAGATTTCCTTCTCGAATAAGCATATAGAAAAGGCTACAGCTTTAGCTTTCTCTTCCTTGAACCCTTATTTGTGGCTAAAGATGACAGATTTGTGTTCGAATGTGTTCGAGTAAAGCCAATCTCCCCAAACCTTCCCAGTAATTCCATGAAGATAATTGTCGTCCCTGATGATAATTTGTTCACAATTACCGATAAACCAAGATCATAATCTCAACCTTTAGTGACAAGCGCAACATTTCCGACACACATAACTTTGAGCAAATTTCACAATGATACAATAAAAAAACTTGTCTTGCCTGTAGAAGACAGTAACTAAGTGTTCTCAGTAAGATATCTTCAAAAGTAGAGAGTCATTCTATTCTTTGTTTAGATACCAAACTATGTCTACATTTCTATGAGTATAAAGCTTGTAATGCATCTTAGTCTTCCAGTTGCATCTCGTCTCCTTTTCTTGTTCAGTTTACAATGGCAGACATGTGCTGGAGCAAATTGGATTTTCAGTATCCTTAAAAAATCAATTTCAAAAAAAACTTTTGGCACATACTGAAAAGAAAATAATCAGGGCCCACGCAACTGATCCAAAACTGGAGGGGCTAGTAATGTTAAGAAAGTTTGCTCCTCCTCTTCAGCCCAAATTGTCGCTATCATTCTTTTGATGCTGTAATTTAAAGCTGTAATTTGTTGTAATCTAAAGGTTTTTTCTTTATAAATACTTTAAGGTTATTTCAGTCTTTTTAATGTAGCGAAAAATTAGGGACACCACTGGCTCCTGACCCCCCCGTGACACAAGCCCTGGTAAATTTTTCATATCTCATCATGACATGAAGTATTTGCAACCAAATTTTCATGCGATTTTATATGTGTAAATGCTCAGAATCGAAATTAGTGTGAACATGTCGAAAGAATTCATCTACTGACTCTAAAACAATGTTGTGGCATAAGAACATATATGGAATTCGGACTAACGTAAAACATTATTTAATATCCTGGGAAAATACATCTACAAGTTAAAGAAATTCTTCAGCTCTTGTGCAGTGGCATAATGCTATCAAAATAACAAGAAGGGGCTTGTACACGAAATATTGCCAAAAAAAATAGCAAAAAAAGAAATTGGCTAAATTTTGGCACTAACACTGCCCTTCTGAGCCCCCTAGCACTATAAGCCTGTTTTTCTGCAGCATGACAATGTCAAGCAGTACAGGCAGGCGGCAGCGGCGATGCCAGGAATTTTTTGTAGCAGTTCCTCGCAGAAAATTGGTTACAGTTTGGCACAAAACTCTTTGGTGCAGTGTTCATTGTTGCATGTTTTTATGAAATATGTACCTCTATTTGTATATAGATTGTGTATCTCTCTTATGTTTGGAACGCTTATTTTTTGTGATATATATTATTTATATGTACAATTACAAATGGCTTAGAAAGAGGGGTTTCAGAGGAGCGAAAAACTTGTCAAATAAAGTTTGACTGCTTTTTTGGGATAACCTTGGATCTTTTGAAAAATAATAACATGGTTGTCTTTTTTATCAAAAGGTTACTATTTGAGAGGAAAGATTTACATATTTTTATATTAGGTATTGTATTTAAGAACGTTAAAACCGTTAAAAATTACGTTAAAAACAATTCCCGCAATCTTGGTACTATCAGCACTCTTGAAACCCATTTCGATACAGCCACATGAAAAGATAAATCGCTTTCTGCTAATCTTACAACAACAAACGCTTTTTATATGGAATGCCTAGTAAAATTAATCTAACGTAGAATCATTGTATCCCAATTGTTCTGCTCTTATCCAGAATAAAATGTATAAGCTTTTCTAAGTTTGTATTTGTATTCATTGCTTTCTTGCTTTCGACGGTAGGGGTCGTGGCCGGGGGGACAGGGGGGCCAGTGGCCCCCTCTGCTTTCAAAATTTGACGGATTTTCGGAAAAATCATTGTTTTATAGAAAAATTCTCAAACTTGGGCTGTGGGTAATTCTCAAACTTTTAGCAACATAAATTATTTGAGTTAAGGTACTTACCATAATTTCGAGTGGTAATTCACTTTTTCAAAGAAAATACTAGATTTCCACAAAACAAAATGATTCCTCAGGATTTACCATAGAGATTGGATTATCTCTATGGGATTTACCGATTTCTACCATAAAGTAATTTTCTGCTCGGATTTTGCTAGCTAAAATCTGAATGTTCGAGGGCCAAATTTGGTTATGGAAAATGGTCAATTTTGGTCAATAAATTAGGTCTTTATTTGATGCTGAAGACCAGGACAGTGCCAGTTTTGTGCCTGTAACCAGATTTTTGATAATTAATGTTTCTGATTTGAAAATTTATGTAGTTATGTTGCGTAAAGTAAAACAAGGAAGAAGTCGATCAAAACCTTCGCTTTCCCCCAGTGGATATTCAATCTAAGAATAAGAATTTATTACTGAAAGTTGCTTCAAAGAATGCACTTTCCGGCGAATTTGAAGCATTAGATTATAAAAAGGTTTTTCCCTTTGAGGGCAACCATGGTGCCACCTCAGGTAGTAACTTCATGCATCCTTATCCTAATCCACCGATCTAAAGGGTTGCGAGATGTCAGAGGCATTCACAATAAGTATGAAGAAACAGAGACAAGATAAAGTTCATCTTAAATACCGTTCCAGCTAAGACAAAGTTATGAGTTTTTCTGCACCGCCCCCCCCTTTACACTTACATAAAATGCTTCTACTTGATATAGATAAATCAAAGAAATTTTGCCGGAAAATTTTTCTTTCTGGCCTTCTCTAGAATTCATTCGCCAAGACGCCCTTGCTCGATGGCAATTTTAGGTAACTGAGAAGCTATGCTAAACCAGCAGCTTCCTGACCCTTTCTCTCGATCCAGCAGTGTTCTCACACCTTGTGATTTTTTCCTGGAATTACAGCAAGCTGGTGACTCTCTAAGTGTAAGTTTGATCATGGCGGGGACTCGAAACCCAGACCCCTAGATCTAAGGCCATCCATTCTATCGTTACAGTTCCCAAACACTCTATCAATACAACAATTAATCAAAACTTATATTCCAGTCAATTTATAAACATTTATAATTTATAAGGATTTGAAAACAGGCTTTCTAACAATATTGAAACCAATAAATATATTGTGCCCTACTACCTAAAAGAAATTTTATCTTATCGTCAAGACGTTTTGCAGCTTTCCCAAAAATCATAGCAGGCCATATAATCATGGCTGCAATCGGTACAAATTCTAAAGGAACTTTGAAAACTTTAATGCCAGCTATTGGGTCAGGGGCAGTAGGGACAATAGGCTTGGGCAAATGATCCTTTCATTGTCTTCTGTCCCTACAATTATCTCGTCTCAGAATATCTAAATGGGCCCTTGAAATATTGTCTGTCAAAATTTTTAACAGTTGCCATTTGCATAATATCTCAACTTACCATTGAATCTTGAACTGTTTCTATTAAATCTTAAATTTCCGGCCTTTTTGTAGCTTTAACTTTGCTTGTATTTTCATGACCAGTTCTTATGTATTTCATATCGGATGTCTTTGGTTTTCTTTCATAACTTTAATTAGGAAACATAGACGAAACTACACCCGAGTTTGTGAATATCTTTCAAAGACAGGTAAATATACCTAATAAATACTCGAAAGCTTCAACATAAGTTATTTATGCTGCCCTCAAATTGTGAAAAAGAGAACAGAAAATGTCGCTTTAAACCAGATTGGGTATTAGGAACGTCAAAGAAAATGTTGAAAATACGAACTGTCTCGCACCGTGAAATATCTTCAACCTGCCATTTACTAAGAGTGCAGAAAACATGGTTGCACAATTATTGACCGGAGAAAGGTTTGAGAAACAATGAAAATTTGGAGGAAAGTTTTGGTAAAACAGAATTTTTGAAAAACAAATGAAACAACCTATTTTGCACTTGTCTCTTCGTTGCGCTTTTAAAACAAACGTTTAAATTGTTGCAAAATCTATTGGTGGCGTGAACCACTAGGTTTCGGGGGAGAGGTCTGTGACAAAACAAGAGTTTTCAGGCCACGCCCTTTTACCGCCAGAAAATACATCTGAAAAGAGAATACTATTCGTGTTCCATGGTTTTAAAATTTTTCAATCTATAGCATGTTAGTATCGATTTTATTATTCGACATTTAAAAAGAAATATCATTCTTGAGTTGTAATGTTCTGAATGCTATTCTAGCAAAGTTTATAGTATGCGATGAATACCATCGACCCAAACACACAATTTTGTCTCAGTTATATTGTTTCTGCCACCCCTTATGCCCTGGCTACTCTCTAGCCACGCCCTATCCAAGGTGATTGCCATAAAAATTGAAGGAAAAATTTTAACCGGAGGAAGGTTAAAGACATTTCTGGGCTCTTCTTTTACTTAGTCATTCCTGGTGCTAAGATGCAGCAAAAGGTTATGAAATTCATGAACAATGATTTTTCAAAGTTTCTCTAAAAAGCAGGTGTATTCCTTTCTGCCTTTATTTGAAAAATAATTTGCTTTTGCTTCCCCAGTATTTCTGCCGCGTCACACTCATTTTTATAAGACGCAAAGGTCGATTGGAAATTTCGACGCGCATTGTTAATATGACGTCATTCAATTTAACTTTAGATCCCTATGTTTGAAATTGTATCCCAATCTTTAAGCCAACATGAGCCGGACAATCATGTTGATGGATTTTAACGGAACTTCGGAGCTTTGGGTTTTATCAAAGTCAAATTATATCTGTCACATTCAAAGTCACATTTTTTTATTCGAGAACTGAAGTTTGCCCGGTTCCCGTTTCTTGTAGCAAGTTTCTTATAAAATTGAGTGCAGACAACTAGTAATCCTTGTAAAAAATGAGTGTATTTCAGCTGACAATGAGCTTTTAAACAGACCTGTGTTCAAAAAAGTAAATGGCGGTACGGTTCTGAGAGAGCAAAAATTGTTCAACGGTGTGTTGAAAGATGCTAAACATTTACTAATGAATCTTGTTTAGTTATGAAAGGGGAAATCTTAAAAACAATCAGTGTGTTGTGAATCAACACCGCAGGCTTTTGTACTGCCTCAGTTTCGGAGGCAATGAAGCGGCAAAATTGAGCAAGCAACGGAACACTCTCTTCATCATTTGAAAGCCAAGGCGAAATCAAGACCCTCTGGTGAGTTTCCTTGCTAGAATTATCCTACATTTTGACATTATTTTTGCTTGAATCAGTTTCTAACCCATCCGGTTAACGTATCCAAGAACTTCAGTGTTACTTTATGTACTTGAGAACTCAGCTCTGACCCACACATTGACAATACCAAGCTGCTTTTGTACAGAAGTGGCATATCCTTGTGTATTTGTTTTTACGTGTCCTTTGCGAAGGAACCCATTTTGGGTGGCTATTAGGCTTGGGCATGCAGGCAGCTATAGGTATGCTATGCTGAGTCGTTTTTAGGCCTTTCTAGTTGCTTTTAACATCAAAAGTGGCAATCAGCATGATCAATCATACAATATTGCTCCTGTTTACCATCAGAGGTGGTTTCTAAAGTGTATTCGGTTTGATTTAGACATATTCCCCATAATTTACTGCCCATAATGTTTTTCAGTTTTCTTAAACGCACGAATCGCAATTAGGTAGGAAGATGATTCTAAGCAATGAATAGCGAATGATCAACTCATTCGTCGAGAAAAAAATTTGGCGTCATAGATAAAGTTGTTCTCCTATGCAACGGTCGGTTCAGGTAATTAGAAATTGTTTATCCTGCAAATTTTCTTTCAAATGTTTCGCTTATAGGCCTTTCGCTTTTGTTTTTTTTTCGAACAATCACCAACAATACTAGCTTCCGATCACTGATGAAAGCCCCCTGCCTAAAACAAATAAAAGACCATTCGTCAAGAGTCCAAAGTAGATTTCTCTTCCGGCTGATGGGCAAAGTATCAGAAAATCTTTTAATAATATCAATCCATATAAAGCACAACTTGAGGATAGGATTTTTTCTTTTTCTCCATCACTTGGCCTTACCCGCTGCTTTTACTGGCCTTTTTGCTGGCATACACTCATTTTTTGAAACTGGCTATAAGAAACTGGCTATAAGAAACGAGTATTGGACAGTCCGAGTATTGGACAGTCTTAAGACTGCGCGCAGGCTAGAGGGGCACTTCACAATGGCAAATAGAGGGGCAAATAGCGTACAAGATTTTCTCGAAAACAAAAGGATTTCTGGGAATTTTCATATAAAACAATAGGATTTTCACAAAAGGTGTACGAGATTTTCTTGGCGTGATTTGCCCCTCGGGACAGTCAGAAAAAATTAAGAAACTTCAGTACTACCATGTCGAGTACTCCAGTTTCTTAATGTTCTAGAAATTTCAATACTCATTGTTTCTTAAGAGTTTCTTAATTATGGTGTCATGAATAATGTTATGAAATGTTCGTGACCTTTTTTATCACGTCAAGAAATTCGCTTCCGTTCCGCAGGGGTGGCGCTAGAGACAAACCTTCAAGGTGCCGAAGTTTATATTCTCCGTAACTGCCGACGCTGGATGTGTCAAATTGCCGACAGAAAAAAAATTCGATTTTCCCCATATAGCAGGCAGGGCCGTCCCGAGGCAAGCCTCGTTGGGGGGGGGTGTGAAATACAAATTTACCGGATTAAAAAATTATTGCCTGAAACTTTCTAGCTGGTGTCACCGACTTTCATTATAGTCTTGTCAAATCTCTATATCGGGACGGGCAAAACATATAGTTACTACCCGAGGCGGCACCATGGTTGCCGCCGAAGGGGCAGGAAATTTTCGAATTGTGACGCTTCTAGTTCCCTGGAAAATGCGCTCTTTTAAGCAAATTTCACTAAAGCAATCCTCCTAATCCTATTGAAAATTATTGTCTTTTTGCAAAACTTTTTTACAGCAGATAAAAAAAACAATTTCCCCGTGGTCTTGAAAAATAGCAGTTTGTCAGTTACTTCTAAATTTAGATCCCTCTCTCCATCTTAGCATGCCTTTTGAATGTTAAGAAAAATCTGGAGCTCATAGTGAATTGCAGTTGACGCTTCTACTGAGAAACTTTAGGAGAAATAGACACGAGGCACAATTTTATCTAAGATTGCTTGATCCTTTATAGATTTCATGACATGAAGGTCTCTGAAATACCTAAAGCGTTTCTTCCACCGAGCGGATTTTACCTGAAATTTCCTATTGAGATACTATTGGGGTGGGTGTGACAACCCCCCAGTCGCGACGCCCCTGAGCAGCTGTTAGAACACAGGGTTCCCATTCATTGCAGGACATCACATGACAATTGCATCATTGCGCTGCAATTGCATCAGCTTCTGTAAATTGTATTATTCTTAGGGTATATAAGGGGTGGCTTTATAGTTAGGTTCAGTCTTGCCGTAAGCTTTGTCGAACTCAGTGTACCTTGTCGCTAGCTTGCAGAATTGTGTTTGCCGTTACATTTTCGCCGTTAGCCATTTAAGATATTTTTAGTCGTTTGCCGTGAACTGATGAATTAGAAGAAGTGTATAGAGAATTGGATAACAGTTTTTGCCGTATTTATCGTGTACGTTTCTGCGAACGACCTACGAACTCACATTTGTAAAATCCCCTTTTTAAGTGGTTTTACACAGCACCTCCAATGAAGGGACACCGAGGGGTCATGGCCCCCACTTTTTTACAAAGCAATAGAGCATTTTTCCAAAATCTTTTGCTGTGGGTGCAAAATTCTCCCTTGCCCCCTCCCCGCCCCCACTTTCCAACCTGAGTTGGAGTCCACGAGATTTTCTCGGCAATTTGTGCCTTGTAAGAAACTTAATGCGCAAATATTGCCTATTGTTGAATATTTCTTCCTATCTATGGTGGAAGATATTAATCGATGGTTTTCTCTAAACCATTTGTTTCTCGCAAGCTATGCGGTGAACAATGCTATTGAAAAATAGTTGATAAAAAAGGACAAGAAGTGCATTTTGAAGAATTTATTACGCAAAATGTGCTCATGATCGAAATGTTTTCATTGGCAATAATAATGTCTTGAAACGAAAAGAGAATCCCTTAAGAAGAAAATTCATTAGAGACTTTATTTATGACAGCGTGATTTTGCTGTTGTTAGGGTAAATTTCCTTGAAACGGTCCAAAACATGATCTAAATCAAGCATCTCTGCACGTTTCGCATGAATTCCAGGCAGCAACAGGGATTTCAACCGAGAGGAGCACGATGGTATTGTGGGTCATGCGAAGGAGCACCACGAAATTAAGTCACAGCTTTCACCATAGTCATGCTTTCACGGAAGCGACAGGATATAATGCAATTTAATGGATTTAATGATAATAAAATTGCCAAAGAAAAGCCTTTGAGAAAACCATAAACCAGCCAGTGCAGTTTTCTCCTCGATTATTTATGTCATTCAAACAACATGTAAACCGGGTGACATCCATCAAGTGCCGACGGTATTGAGAAAGCAAAAATTGATTGGCTGCCGACGTGGGGGCTAACAAAAATCTAGGGGGGGCTAAAGCCCCCCCTTGCCCCCCCATGCCGCCACTCCTGCCGTTCCGATGCTGTATTTAGATGTGGGAAGTATAATTTTATCCCTTGTGTCTTAAATTCTAGGCCAACAGGGCAATCATGTTCTTGGATTTTACGTTCTTGGATTTAAAATTTCGTTGTTCTCAGTTTTATCACGATTTAATAGTTTCTTAATTTTTTTGCTTCGAGTACTGAAGTTTCTTATTTTTTTCTGACTGTCCAATACTCGTTTCTTATAGCCTTTTTCTTATAAAAAATGAGTCTGAAAACGAAGTTAGAAGTATACGGTTTTTCACTGGCTTACTTCATAGGAAATCCGTGGTCATATTGCTTTGTTCATTAAAAAGGCGCCCCTGATCTGGTTTTATTGCAGTTATTTTTATCGTGAAAATCAAATCACGTGTCTATCAGGGTTGCAAACTTATCTCCCGTTTTTTAGAACTGTCAACTGATAACTAATGGCTATTCTACTGCAGGGGCTCCGAAACAGGCTGAAAAGTTGGAGGGGGGGGGCATTGAAAAATGAAAGTAACAGATTCTGAAAAAGTATATGTAACCCATTTTTGCCAGTTCAAATACATATGCATATTTTCGAAGGAATATCTAAGTAACACGTTACGCCCGCACCCTGCTTCAGCTATGATCGCTTCGTTGGCAGAGAGCCTCGTTTTTTCAAACACCGCATTCAATTGTGATTTTCTCTTTGCATTGGTGCTTATATGGTACCTAATTTGAAAGACTAATATTTCATCGAGAGAAATGTTACTACGTTCCTGCCTCATAAACAAAACGTGTTACCGGCAGGAAACAGATTTTTGATTTTCCCTGTTTCCTCTCCGGGAAGTGACGATTTTCAGACCAAAACCAGCATGCATAGTAATTTGGATGATTAGACTTGTTTTCATTTCTCTCGATTTTCATGTCTTCTGTTTTTGCATAGGTAATGTTGTGTTGAGGCCGACCCGACTAGCGAACAGATGTCACTGGTATTGCAACGGTTGTTAAGAGATCATTTCAAATGAAAGGAGTTTTCGACAAGATAATTTTCCTTCATCTGAAAGGCTAACCACTTTCTTGAAGGTCTCAGCTATAAACACAAGACACAGCGGATTTAAGAGAGAAAACACGAGGAATAATATTGGCGAATAGCGATATGTTTATTGACTTCAAGAAAACGCATAAATTTTGGGTGATCGCCGGGCTCGTGTCCTTTATTACATATTTCACGATACAGCAGATCTCTCATGAAAGGCAAACTGGCCATCGCTATGGGGATGTTATGCCATATCTGATGAAGCAGTTGCATGCAAACATTACATCGTTAAAATATTGGAAAATAACATCTTCTACATGGCAGTTTGTTATTACCTATCAATGGCTCTGGATGTTGTACAGCCTCACCACATTATTCAGAATTAACTCTTTAAATATTCTGCCACCACACTTTTACGCGTCGTGGTGCTTATCGTGTTGTTTTGAAATTGGCTATTTATTCCTCGCTGCCCACAGACAAACGCTCTGGGCGTGGATTTTTACGTGTTCAAGTGGTATATGCCGCAGCGGATGCCTTTTCTTTGCATTTTATTCGTTATTCGAGTTCCTAGCAGCACATTCTGGCAAACACAAGAAACCAAACAAATTTGATGTTTGCTGTCAGCGCATTTTGATTCAAAATGGCCTAATTTGCTACCAGACATGGAGCATAATCTCGGTTTGCTTCAACTTCGCACCAAATCTCCAACGTATGTTTGACGTCAGTCAGCATGCTGCTTACAGCTTTTCACTACTTATTCTGGCTGTAATTATTGTTGTTTGGTTTGTGGCGCAGAATTTCTACGTGGAGAAATACGCGAGATACACGTGCTCAGAGTATGTTACCATGGTTATAATTTTTGGCCTCATATTTAATGAGTGCAGAGCAAATGTCGATGGAACGTATGCATTTGTACTTCTGCTTCTCTGTTTCTCTCTCTTACTGCTGCTATTCCGAGTGTCTTTGATTGTATTCAATGAACGGGGACGCATTTATGCCAGCGACGAAGAGCTGGAGTTTATGGTGTAGACCACGTCAATTAACCCATCAAACGGCAGCATACAGAAAAGCTGTGGCAAATTAAAGTTATTACCGTGCTAAACATTTTTAGCTTTCAATATGTTATTTACAAGGAGAGAAGCTATACATTATTGATCTTTTGTTTTTAAACAATCACGTTACTCGAATTATGGTTGATACCTTTTCTTCCAAATACTTGCTGTAATTACAGGGGAGATACCAGCAATTCTAGAGAAGAATTGAAGTGAGATTTTAATTTAGAAGCTAATTTCCTTTCGGTACATTTAAATTTGTTATACTTGTTTCAAAAGGTGTGATCAGTGCTGAGCAGAGGGGGGTCATAGGAGGGGTAAGAAACTTGGATTTTCCGACAAAATTCTAGCAATCGTTAATATTTTTCATAGATTTTAACATAACATAACGACATCGGAACAGAAATAAATAAATATTTTGATATATTCAGATATATTCTTATGTTTAAATTCTTTAAATTTAACTTTAAATTCTTTTCTATTAAAACATGGCAATTAGAAAAAAATGGACAACCTTGTTAAATTTCCAACAAAGACCAGAGGTTTTCCTACAAAACAGCAGTTTAGCTCTACAGGGGGGTCTTTGCCCCCTTTGTCCCCCTGTTTAGCCACCATAGCAATTTTAGCAACCAAAATAGCCACCCGAGTAGTTTAAGCAACCAAAATGGCCACCAGGGCAATTTAAGCAACCATCATTTTCGAAACTTTCCGGGGAAGCATTTCCCATACCCCTCGAAACATCTGCCTTAGGCATGTTTTACTATTCATCTTTCGCCTTGACCCGGCGAAATGGCCCATATAACTACAAATATGATTCATGTTTATAATAGCTATTTATAGGGGCATTTTGTATATGGCAGTTCGGCTATGGCCAAATTTGAGTAATCAAGATCCCTTAGCAATTCTTTAACTTTTCCCCTCGTGTTCCTTTTGATTGGATATGAAAAATTAAATAAAGAGTCATAAAATTGTAAGAAGATAAGGTGAGATTAATATTTGACAAAATTGACAATAAATATTGTTGGCACTTTCTGCACATGTAAAGGATAAGTGAGATGCAATAAAAGTAGTTCTTGAGTAGTAGCTCCTATTGCACACGGGTATACACCAGCTATAGTAGCTCCATTTTACTATAGCTGGTGTATACCCGTGTGCTTTCCATTGCTTAAAAATGAAGTAAAGTTGGTGCGTTCAAAGATTTTTCATATTTTTTTAGCAGTTCTCCATCAAGTATTAAAAATTCCTTAAGCTTTTGCCTAGCCGAGTGCCAACTCTCGTATAAAGTACTTCCGTATAAAAATTGCATGTAGCATAAATCTTTGCGTCGTCAGATATTGTTGCTACGTTGAATCAAATCTGAATCAAAGGGTTTCATAATCTTTTTCCGTCAAAAGACATGTTTCTTCCTTCATGAAAACACGATTTGGCCTTATTTGAAAATGAAGGAATCACTGTAAATTGTTCATTTATGCTTGCTTACTTCTATTTTATCGGTCATAGTTCAAGTAATTTTGTATATCCAGGAGATATTTGCAAGAAATTTTATAATTGCAATCCTTAACAATTAATGTAAAAATCAGTATGAGTAATCGTGTATTTTATTAATTTAAAATGAGGAGTAATTGCATGCTTAGGTTTGTATCCAAATCGCTAGTTTTTGCTATTATACAATGATGAAGTTGAAAATAGTCTTTGAAGCGTGAAGAAAATTTTCAAAATGGCGCAAAGAAAAAACACATGAAAAACATAATGTTTTGTTTTCACCTTTCCTTCTCTATCTTGTATGTATGTTATCAACATTTTTATTTCTATTTTTTCTGAAAAAAGAAAAACTGTCGACTCAAAATCGAAAACAGGAACAAAAGTCTCCCTACAAAGCATTGCTAGTAATTTGAAATTAAACTTTTGTAATATTTATAGACGCTTGTCGTTCTGTTAGCCATTTACACAATCTTGACGTATTTCAATTATTTATATTTAATTTATTTTTAGAGATGATTTTGCAAAAGAATGTGTCATCAATTTTGCCTTATCTTACCGGCCAGTTTGTCTTCTAATGTTGTATTTTTCCCTTTCTTTCAAAATCAGCAGCTGCATACAATGAGAGTTATTAGAATGCCAAAGTTTTCAAGGAGTCATTAGAAGGAGTTTTAGGGTCATAGGTGGGAGCGTAAATGGGGCGTATGGACAAAGATGTAGGGGTGTGGGGAATTTAGATGGAGGGGGACTTTGCTGCCTCCTAGCCAAGCAATGCTGTTCCTTCAAAAAGAAATTGAAATCATTGTTTTCACCTCAAAAAAGAAAAACAGATGCAATAGGAAAATAATTTAGGAAAACAGAAAGGAAATAAAAAGAGTGCTCACAAACAGTCATCAGCAGCCAAAAATGGAACTAATTGTGACTGCCCTTTTATTCAAATATGGGAAACAATTTATCTTTTTGACGTGACAACCACAAACACCTAAGCAATCGAGAGCCAACTTCTGATCTGGTATAAAACTTTAAAAACATACCAGATGTGACTTAAGCCTGATTTACACGAGACGAATTTTTCGCGCGAAGCGAATTTTTCGCCACGAATTTTTCGCCTGCGAATTCGCTGCGAATTCGAAGTTCAATTTCCACTGGCAGAATTTCTTTTGCGAATTCGCCGCGAATAATGCAAAATAAAATGGCGTCTGTTCGAAGATTGTTGTTATTAAAAAAAAGCGAGCAAAAAAGCAAAGAAAGGGGTACTTGGTTCGAAAAATTTATTCAGAACGTCTACAGAAGGGGGAGTTTCATCTTTTGGTAAGTGACTTACGCTTACATTGTCAGGAATAATTACTTTCGAATGTCGCCAACTACATATGAGGAGCTTTTATCGTTTATTGCACCAAAGACGCCTGTTGCTAGAAACGTCCCATTCCATTGTTTATGTTATAGGTGCGGGATTTTCCCAGCATTGTTTAGGCCTGGTCATAGGTTACTCATTCTTCACCCATGTTGTTGTTTGAACCATTGCGTAGTTTTCTGTCGCTTTGCATACTTTTGATTTAGATATGCTTACATTGCGTAGCACCATTCGGCCTAGCCCTTCCTTTGGGTTCGTGTCAGATGTCTTCAATTGCTGTTCTGATTGGTTTATTTTACAAGGCGAAAAAATTCGCAGCGAAAAAGTAGGAATGGTTTCTACTTTTTCGCAGCGAATTATTCGCTGCGAATTCGCTGCGAATTCGCTGCGAATTTCCTAATCTCCACTTCTGCGCATATTATTCGCGCATTCGCGGCGAAAAATTCGCTTCGCACGAAAAAATTCGTCTCGTGTAAATCAGGCTTTACCCTAAAAGATTATCGAACTTGTAATAGGGCTCAATCCCTTGAGTATTCGTCACCCTCACTCATCCTTCCCATTTGATACCCCTACCAATGCTATAACCAACTTTTTATCGAATAGTCTGTTATACCAATCGAGCAAGGAAGTACTCCTATTTGACCTTACGCTATGTTAAATGCTACCAAACGAAAGAGGCAGCATGACACTTACAAACGCCACAAAATCGCTTATATTTGGAGTGGTTTTTGAATCATGATTTCGTTCATTTTAGAAAGGTTCAAGAAAACGTGTGAGAACATTTAATCGCTGCTTTTTATCTAAAGATCATTTCTCCAAACATATCTAAAGAACCCGATTTCTTGAACGGTTATTATGATAAAGATATGGGTGTGATAAATTAAGCCTTGCGCACATTGTAGACTTTTATCGACGATATCTCTGTGGTGTTAATCGTTGAGTTGAAAGTTGTGTCAAGTGCGGCAAAAAAATTACAAAGGATCTATGTAATGAACGACATGTTATTTGTTTAAGGAAGATTTCTATATATTTCGTCGTTGACGATAAAAGAAAAATCGTTCTTTGTGCAGTGTTTTTACGATAAAAAATTGCCAATGATTATTGTGAGAGCCTAATAGCGCACAAATTTTTGTTTATTCTTTGTCAAGTTCTAGAACAAAACTAAGCTTTTATTATTTTTAGGAGTGAAGATCTAATCGGAGCTTGGAATGTAAAAGGGAAACTTTTTGTGAATTGTATGTTTTTGCTACAGATGACTTTGCTACAGATGATATTCGGTACGATTGTCAAAGATGGCGAGAAAATCATTATGCTCTAAATAAGTATTTCTAGCTATTTCTAGGTTGGTTGAAAGACTAACTGCCTTACAGCAGATCAACCATAGAAATATTTAACATGAATGAAAACTATCTGTTTTCCTCCGATCAGTCATGATTTTACGGCTGCATTCAGCATAAAAAACCGCTGGTTGATTTGATGGTCTAGAAGCTTGTAAATAAGTAGGCTTGATTTCTGTTGATCTTTGTAGACAGACGTGACAACAACAACAAAAATCAAAGAAGATCGGGGGGGGCAACAACCACTTTTTCCCACAATCTTACAAAAACACTTCTGACACAGTGACATTTTTTGCAGAAAAATGGAACATTATGGCATGCAACAACAATAAATGGCTTTGTTTAGCCCCATTTAGGCGATCTTGAGTAGTTTTGTACTGCTTATGAAGTAGAGTCTAAAAACGAAGAAATTAACATTGATGTAGCACAAGGCTATTGCCTCGGCGCCGTTTTGATGATCTCCATCTTGATACAAAAATGCCACTATCTCAGTTTACATTAATGACACTAGCTTTCGAAACCTAAAAAATATCACTCGCATTGACAGTATGAGGCTATGCTACAATCAATGACGTTGAGCAGTAAGAGCAATGATGGAAGGGCAACAAACTTTCCTTGAAAACATTTAACGCTTATCAAAAAAGGCGAAAAGACAAAGTTATAAAAACATCTAAAACTAGGATTTATGATACAAGATATTAAACTTGATATTGTATCAAAAACTAGTCATCTTTGATTCTTTCTATTGGAAAAACACGTGAAAATAATTACTGCCAAACTTTCCCGGGCTTTTAGAGTGTTTGAATTAGTCAAAATCATTTTTTTCAGCTAAATCAATGGAAACACTCTAATAAGGTATTGTTGAGCGATTTGTTATCGTAGTGCCAGGGGTGTCGTGGGTAGTGGATCTTAAGCCCTGGTCAAACAATCCAACATTTCACCCATTTCACGTCATGTTGGGGAAAATGTTGGATTGTTTGACCACCAATGTGGGATCACATTCAGGGCCCCCGCCAAAGGGGTCACTTTTTTGCTTGGCATTCTAGAGAGTCTGGAAACAAAAATTTTTTTCGTCGCTCGACCAACCATGGTGGGTGACATTTTAAGGAAAATTATTCTATTTTTAGTCCCCCTCCCCCACTTTAAAATCCATGGCGGGAGCCCTGACATTCTAATATAACAGAAAAATGTTCGGCGAAATATTGGGTTAAATGCTGGATCCTTTGGCCAGGGCTTTAAGGGGATGCAGGAAGACATGGCAAACATTATGTATCTTTTGCAGCATCACTTTTACCGAGTTCAATAAGTCCGTAACGGAAAAGCCAGCATCCGTATTCACAGATTGGATAATCATAATCATCAGTAATCAGTACCTGTGATTGATAATGTTCATTGTTGCTATATATAACCTTTTCTTATATCATAAAACCCTATTCTATGTAATTTTGCTACTTAAATAATTGTTCAATTTTATTATTTTTATTAACTAAACAGGGTGCTGGGCTCGAAAAATTGTCTCGATTCTTTCAGCATTCTAGACAACTTTTCCAATAGACCTATTTAATTATCTTTATTTCCTATAGACAGCTAATCAATTATCGTAACAAAATGTAAACCAAAGTTGTTGTTGTTGAATTACATAGATTTGAATTTGAATCTGTGATAAATAGTAAAACTCGCAATAGGACTCATAATTAATAGCATAAGAATGTAAAAAACGAACTGCACGATTTTTAGTGCTTGAAAAGTCTCCTTAGCAATGGTTTGTCAGCAAACTTGCCGATTTCTTCATCATAACTAAGTGTCAAATACGTCAAGGTCAACATCTATTCAACCTCTGTTGGTCAATTATTTATCGCACTCTGTTTTTTCACACTTGAGCTTTAAAAAGGTGCACTTGCATTGAGTAATACCAATTTGCAAGCTTGCAATTTCCTGTACAAGTGCACAGACTTTGAAATAAATTTGGCTACAATCCTTGCCAAAAGTCTTGGTACACCAAGCTAAAATTTCGCATAAATTCAGTAGCATCCCCCTCTCCCCCTTGAAACAATGTTGAATAACAACAGTTTCAAAGCTTGAAATTCGTCCAATGTCAGTTTATCAGCTAGGGTAAGTAATAGTCTTTTCAGCCAACATTGTTTTTGGGGGGAGGGGGGATATATCTGTATCTTACAGCCGGAAACCTTTATTTCTTCAAAATCTTTCATTGGTCACAGGGTGTTCCAAGGACTTTTGTCAAGGATTGTAGGTAGATCTTTTTTCTATTACTGATTAGTTCCTGTCGTGAACATTCTTGTTTTTCTATTAACTACAAATATTCTTTCGTCAAACAGATACAAAATTTCCAAACGGTAGATGGCAGGGGGAGGGCACTGCATGGTGCAGTCTGGGGTTGTTGTGGATTAATAAAAATCATTTACTTGCAAAAATTAGCAAAAAATAGCTGGGAAAATGTGACGGTGTGCAATTTTGATGCTCCCGGAAGGTCTCTAACAAAAGCTAAAAAGTGTAGAAGATCATCGAGAAGAAATGGATTATAAAAAATAAAAGATGGTGTTCAAATTTCTAAATGGATTAGCCCTATTAAATGTTTTTAAAACTGCTTTTATTTTTATTTTCCTTTTCTTCATTTCAGGATTTACGTCAGTTTTCTTTGTAATAACTCGTCTAAAAGTTATACTTAGGTTTAAGACATAAATACTACGACATTCAAAAAGAGTGGCAGTTCAATATGCTTGTTGCCTCAGGTGTACCAATATTGGATGTACCAAAGGTATTCTTTTAAACAGCTTATAGCTTTGTAATTTTAAATCAAGAGATGCTAGCTTCATTCTTCACTATTAGATCTAGCATCTAAAGAATATTTAAATCTGACATCTAGTGCATATTCATCGTCGATCCATTGCTCAAACAATACGGTAAAATGCTTAACCACTGAATAAGATCAAGGCAAAAATTTGGAGAAGATGCAAGAAACGTTCACCTCCTTGCACGTGTAACTAAACAGCCTTAACTAAACAGCCTTAAACAAGGCACATGGCAAACAGACTAACTAGATTGAACATGCACAGATTAAGATTTACAAAATTGTATGGATTTTATCATTTACTACAAAGTTTACTGCACAATACAAGCTAAAAAGTTTACTGCACATGCAAGGAAAATTAGTTTGCGCGAAGATGAGATAAGCGATCTAAGAAAGAGCTATTGGGGCATTACCTATTTGTTTACAACTTGTTTGTTGATCTTTCTTTGTCTTATGCTAGGTGCAAAAACGCTTTATTTGATTACGGTATATGTTTATTTCATAGTAAAAGATTAGATTTTGAATGCTAAACTGCTTTTCTATGGATAATATGTTTGATTTAGATTCAGAATTTTGTTCGCTTGGCAAATGCCAGCTGTTACCTTTGCTTACGAATACTTGCGCAAGTATGATTTGAAAATATTATAAAATGATAGCTTCCTCCGATTCCGGTGTTTAAACAACTAAAGAAAGAAAAATGCGGAAACAGAGAGAGGGTATCTTCCTTCTCAACTCTTATGAGCGCAAGGCAATCAAGAGCAAATGTTTCGTCTTGAAAAGATATTGAAGCAAGAATTGTGTTGTTTTATTTTCTTTTATTTAAGCCTGATTTACACGAGACGAATTTTTTCGTGCGAAGCGAATTTTTCGCCGCGAATGCGTGGAAAAATGCGCAGAAGTGGAGATTAGAAAATTCGCAGCGAATTCGCAGCGAATAATTCGCTGCGAAAAAGTAGAAACCATTCCTACTTTTTCGCTGCGAATTTTTTCGCCTTGTAAAATAAACCAATCAGAACAGCAATTGAAGACATCTGACACGAACCCAGAGGAAGGGCTAGGCCGAATGGTGCTACGCAATGTAAACATATCTAAATCAAAAGTATGCAAAACGACAGAAAACTACGCAATGGCTCAAACAACAACATGGGTGAAGAATGAATAACCTATGACTAGGCCTAAACAATGCTGGGAAAATCCTGCACCTATAACATAAACAATGGAATGGGACGTTTCTAGCAACAGGCGTCTTTGGTGCAATAAACGATAAAAGCTCCCCATATGTAGTGGGCGACATTCGAAAGTAATTATTCCTGACAATGTAAGCGTAAGTCACTTACCAAAAGATGAAACTACCCCTTCTGCAGAGGTTCTGAATAAATTTTTCGAACCAAGTACTCCTTTCTTTGCTTTTTTGCTCGCTTTTTTTCAATAACAACAATCTTCGAACAGACGCAATTTTCTTTTGCATTATTCGCGGCGAATTCGCAAAAGAAATTCTGCCAGTGGAAATTTAATTTTGCAGGCGAAAAATTCGTGGCGAAAAAATCGCTTCGCGCGAAAAATTCGTCTCGTGTAAATCAGGCTTAAGTTAGGACGTTGAAATGTCAATGCATGTTTACCAGTCTTAAGTAATATATGTTTTTCCTTTTCTCTTTACTTTAACATAAAACATCCTAGTCATTTTCTGGTCTCTTTTATGAGATGCTTTTGCCTGTTTTTGCTTTTTCGCAACAGTTGCATTCATTTCTTTCAATCATTGTTATGATAACAAATTCAATGCCATTTCAGTCAAGCCTTATTACGACATACTAGATACGAAAGAAGAATTAAAAAGCTATTAGATCAGCTGTTGAGAAAAACGAGTGGACTTGAGAAGAATATTGATGTAACAGATTTTAGTCTGCCGTTCACACATTTTTTGGGACAAGGTTAAAAGAATTTAAACAAGTTCAAAAATATCACATTCACGTGATAATATTTAACAATCATGCCTTCTTCTCAAGATGCTTCTAAAATTTGTGCTACTTGATCACACTTTTAAGAGAAGGTACTTTTCGAAAAAGATGGGTGCTATTTGAGTTTCCAAGGTTTGTTTTGACTTTGACCATTTGACCGCAGCCCCTTCCCTTTATTATTGAATGACGTAGCAGTGCCCAGTCCTCATTTGCAGGTTTCGAAAATATGTTCTTTGACAATCCATCGAGGATGTAGGGAGAGGAGTGGAAGTCAGTCATTTCGTTTAAATTGCTCTCGATTGTATTGAATCTAACATGTAAGAGACCCAAAAGAAGTAGAGACGTGATCAAACCTTAAATAACAGTCATCGACTCGCGAGATGTCATGGTATTATCAACGAAAGGAGATATAACCGGCAAAACACAGCTTACGACCGGGGGCTAGGCCCATCTCGCAGTGAAACCTATAGTTGACTTTTTTGGCATTGGAAAGCAGTATGGCGGCAGACGCAAGTGAATGTAACATCAAAGTTGTCTGTAGGGTCCGACCACAGTCGGGAAGTGAGGTCCAGCAAGGAGGACTGATGATTGTAAAGTTTCCTGCCAATGATACAATTATTCATTCGGTAAGTTGCCCGATTTGTGTTTTAGATGCGGCCCACCTTATAACTCTTGAGTACACACAGCGATCGCTGTAATAACTTATGAAGCTAAACTTTGTTCTAGTTACAATTTCAAGATTCTATAGGTTTGAAAAATGATGTTATTTTATAGGGTCGGGGATTCACATTCGATAAAGTTTTCAGGCCGTCGTCTTCGCAGGAGCTGGTATACACAGAGACAGCCAAACCAATTGTCTCAGGTAATTATAGTCTTCCTGTCGTCAGCTAAACCCCATTGTTTTCTATTTGTGTTTTTAAATAATCTTCATCTTCATAAAATTAGCAACACCCTTAGCCTGTATTGTAAACAAACGTCTTTATCCATTTCGACTTCATAACTTGCCGGTCGTTAGCACTTGAGATAGTAATCTCGAACGTCTGGGAGTGGCAGCAATTTGCAATTTAATTTTCCAATCGTACATCGAGCTCTCTATGTTTAGCCTACACTCAATCGTTATAAGAGAAAACTTTGTTGAAAAATAAACTGAACTAAAATTTTTAAAAATTTAATAGTCCTATCTAGATTTTATAGATATGTTTTAAATTATAAAAATTCATACTATCACTACCTTCATGTAAATTATATACAGCCTTTTCATTTTATAATAGTTTTGTTTTTAATGTCTTTCTTCATTTCTTAATGATTTCAACCAATACACAAATAAGGTTATATTTGAGTACATTCCTTTTTTCATTGCATAACTTCCAACAGGAATCAAACTCCACTTCAATGTAACATAACAATAATGATATCAAATTTTAATATTGTCAATAATTGATGATAATGAAAATTATTATTGTTATCAACCAATATTAAATCTAGATTTTGATTGGATCTTGAAACTTTCCCAGGTGAATAATAAAAGCTTCATCTAAAAATTGACAACTAGACGAGTTTATCATATGAATAATATATATCTTAAAAATACAAACAGTAAGACTAGTTTTTTTCATCATTAACCACATTTTATATTCAAGATTTGTCAATACGTTTTTGGGCTCTGCTTATATGTGATATTTATGAAGTATCTCCCATACATACTGATAGAACAAAATTTATTTGTTTCCAACTGATTTTTATTATCAAATAGTGTATATATATATATATATATATATATTAGACACTGTTATTTGTTGAAGCCTTTCTGATTCAAGAGGTTTCACATTCTGAAAGAAATTATTCACATGACAATTTGTTTGCAAATAAGACTCTGTTACAGAGGTGATCACATGTTGTGAATTAAATGTAAATATCATTATTAGCCAGCTTAGGTCAGTTAAGCCTTCCCAAGATCTTCTTTGTACATAATTCTTTTTTAGTAATATCTATGAACAAGACCGCCTAGTAATTTTAAGAGAAGTTTTCAAAAATCCCTTGGATGCATTAGCTTCCTTGGAAATATACAGTGAGATGATTTGATGCCGTGGAAAGTTTTTGATTGTATCAAACATATTTAAGTTTGTGTCCCACACTAAGTGCTGTAAGGGGGGTAAATCAAAATTAGGCTTTTTATCTTTAATACTTCTTATTGTTACTGAAGCAGATATATACTAATTTTCAAACAATAAAGAAAGATGTAAAATATTTTGTTGTAGAATATGTGGTAGAAATTTATCAGGTTGGAGGTTGCGGCAGATACCAAAATTTATTATTCTCCCTATAAGGGTATCAGTATGCAGTCTTTGAAATACTTATAAAAGTATGCTGCTGTGTTATCTTATTATTTCTCAGTATTGTTGTTTTTGTGGTTTTCTCCTGCATATTGAACACAAAGATCTCCAAGCAGGGTGTTATTGTTTTTGCTAGGCCTTTTTGTTTCCCTTAATGGCTTTTTGTCTTTCATGCTATCTCACTTGCTTTGAAGTTATTAATATAACTTACATTTATTGTTTGTTTATTGTTTCATGTCATCATAAGTTAATTATGTTTAGCTATGCTAGTTCATATTTTCATATAGCTAGCATTCATGATGGGTATATAAAGCATGCTGTGGTTCCACACCTTGTTGTTAAACAAACAACATGATTTTCCATTTGGTTTTATGAGTCTATTACAAGACATTAACCAATAAAAAGTGTTAATTCTTTCTGTAAATTTTATTATTTGTTTTATAATGCTTTTACAATAAATAGGCCAAAATAGTTAATTTGTTAAATTTGCTGCAAAATAACCAGCCGGCATTTTCAAGGATTTCACAACAAATTTCATTTCTATGCTTTTTATGACAAAAATTATGCACTGGTTTGAATAATTTAGCAAAACACAAATAGATTGCTTAGATTGATGATGAGATAAATTCTCCTTTTAATGTAAAATGCCTGATAGCAGAAACAATTCCCCTCATATGCAATCTTAGTTGAGGTCCTAAATGTAATATTCATTCAACATTGAGTCTTGTAAACAACATTAAATGATTATGATTGTAGGATTTGCACTTAATTTTCTAAGCTCTGGTTACATCACAAATTTAGCTAGACACTTGATATAAACTTTTCTGTATTTTTTATGAGATAGACATTTTTCAGTTCCATTTTTACACAATGAGTGAAATATTTTCTGTTATTTGGAACCAAGCAGCCCACTGTTGGCCCACTGAATGAGGGGCAATCTCTTAAATCCATGAAATTGATCAACTAACAATCTCAATAAACCATGGTATCTAGAACTTGTTATTTTGTGTGCCGCTTCTCAAAGCAATAATTGGCTATTTTAGGTACGCTGCCTTTTTCAATTGATAAAATTCTGCCTGTAACTAACTACCAAAGTCCTGTTCAGATTCCTATGAATGAGCTACAAGAATATGTCAGGTTCTTCAAATGTGTGTGTCTTTGTGACATCATGTACATTTTGCTGGCCACTATGGACACATTTTCAACACATTTTGATATGCTTGAGGGGTAGGAAAGTTTCCTTACATGAGGTAAAGTCCATATTCCATAACATATGTTTTATTAGTGTTTGCTTATCATGACAGATTTTGATAGCACATAAGTCAAATTGCTGTTCATAATTTATTCATAGAAGGAAGGTTTTAGAATATCGTCCAACAGCAGGTTAGGCTTTTGTCATGATTCCCAGCAGTCTAAATTTGTATGCACATAGTCTCAGCTAAGTTAGCTCAAAGAATGGCTTTTTTGTAAACCTTTTCTTTATTTCTTAAATAGCAAAGGAAGTTTAGTCTTCCTCTCTATTGAAAACAAGCAGCAAGATGCCACTTAAATATTCATGTAACTCAAATGTTACTTTTATGCATGAAGTATCTTAGCATTCCTTTACTACAGAGGGGACTTTATTCTATTGTGATGGTTAGATAACAGGGTCATGGCGATCTTCCCAGAATTCATTTAGAGATATTACAACACTGAAAATAAAGTTGGCAGTGAACATCAATGTAAAGAAATGTATTGTTTAGCTGATAATTATTATGTGCTAGTTCAATCTCTACCAAAATTCCTTGAAACACCTTCGTTGCTTGAATGTTCTTTTGAAAAAGTAGCAGTTTCCAGTGAAATGAACAACACCATACCTTAGGACTCCATTAGTAACATTCTCAATAGGCAAGCAGCACTAATTGGTCAACCTCAACAGTCATGTGCTCATGTTTCTGATTGGCCTATTTCAATCCACAACTGGGTATATTTATTTCCCAGCGTAAAGTTTTCGATCTATGTTCTGACGTTTTAAACTCTGAAGTTTGTCAGACGAAAGACTTTAGTTTACTCAATGTCTAATTTTTTAAAGCCATTTTGTACCACCAAAAGATTGTTAACACCATACCTGCTCTCGCCTAAAGCACTTTTAGATATACTAACTATAAAAAATAAACAGTTAGATATGATAACACTATCTCTTAGGAATCAGTAAGGAACACTGAAGCTCTTAGCATTGCTTAAAGTAACATTGTTTATAGAGGGGATGCTATTTACAATCTGCTAAAAATAAGCGAACTGTACCATGACTATTGACAATAAGTCGACTGATATTGGCAGGCATTTGAAAAAGGTTTGTGTCTATAGAAGCTGCGAGAAAACAGATGAAAAAAGCTTAGACCCCATCAAGCTATAAAAGAGTTACTATTTGTCATCTAACCAGGTTGTTATATAAAACTATTCTGCCCCCTTGAATGAGCACCCCTCTTGAATAAGTGCTCCTGCTTTAAATTAGCGCCTGTTTTCGAGTAAGCACCCCACATAATACGATTAATGTATTTATTTTAGTCAATGTTGTATTTAATTTGATTTAAAGCCGATACATACAAATCTCTTATCTATTTTGATCTATTTTTTTGTGATACAATCGTTACTCTTTAGAATTTTGCCTACAATCTTTCTGTGAATTGCATTAGTCAATACAGGCAAATTAGTACAGAGCTGCGAAAATATATTTGTCATTCTAGGAGCCATGATAATCTGTATTGGAAATTTGCTTGTGAAAGTAACTCAATCACCCTTATTTTCTGTCTGTGAAGCATCCATAAATAAGACTGGTGCTTCCGCTTCAAATTCAGCCAAGTAAATCCCAGCTAATTCCATTTGGTGACACTTATCAATTGCTTTGAGGGATAATTTTCTTGGTTTTGCTGATAACTCACCATTAGCTTTGGCTGAACAACAACTGGGTATTATGTTCACTAGACACTGCAAGCATGAATTATTCATGAATATTTTATGCTCTATCTTCATGTTAATTCAAATTGTTTGAATTAAAAGCGAGATTCTCCAGACATTATATTGAATTTCACCGACAATTTAAAAATTCACTATGTGATAGCATGTGTCCTCAGACCACGTCTGTGCTTGCCATTTTAGGCCAAGTCTATTTTGTACTTTCTTTGTATGAAAACAGTACAGTATGATGTTTTTTTAGGCCTGCTTTGGGATAGTTTGCATCCTTTAAGATATCAACATCAGCATGGCATTAAATTGATATGAATTGTCGACGTGAAACAGAGTAGTTTTGTCTTCCGTTTCATGATAAGACTTGGTCTAAAGGCCTTAAGGCGCACGTTTAGCCCCGAGCGTAGAATTGCACCAGTCTTTGATTCCTGTTATTCCATATTTTAGATGAAAGATTTCTTTGTATATCACGATATTTATGGTTATAGGACGTTTTCTTCTTTGAGTTACCATTCATCGTTATCATTTGCGTACCAACCAAAGCGAGCCCCCGAAAAAGAGAGGGGTAAAGGGAACCAGTGCAGGAGCCCGCGCAATTACAAATGTTTAAAGGATTGTTCTACGCCAGGTTGAAATTTTTAATAAGGTTTTTGTGTAGGCTAAGGAAAAGTTATGTGCGCTAGTTTAGGTAAAGTCTGTTTTAAATCCCCAAATTGCACCTCTTCCCGACATTGATAAGCTGAATTTGTGGGGTCGTCTACAATGATTAACAAGATCTGCTAAAAGAGAGACTGTTGTGCCTAAGCTGCGCAAGGCCCTGTGCATCTATCGTCGACGCGACTCCTGTGCCTTGGTAATGCTGTCGGGCCAGCGCTGTACCTATTTTACAACCTCTTTAAAATAAGAGTCTCACTATTGTTTGATCTTTAAGTTTAATCTTATCAAATTAAATTTGTTCTTGCAGATGTTCTCGCTGGCTACAATGGAACTATTTTTGCATATGGACAAACTGCCAGTGGTAAAACACATACGATGGAGGTGAGATTATTTTCCTTGATAATCCTGACATTACTATTACAATGGTTCTACAAAATTAAGTCATATTCCAATCCAATTCACGACTTCGTTTACGATATTAGTCAAAATTCCTCGTTGAAGATGTTAGAGACAGGGGTTTTGACTGTTTTGAGTTTCACATGACGAAACATTACTTGACGGAATAAACTGGGCTTGTAATGAATCGATACCATATCCCTCCGTACAATTAATTTAGAAAACAAAGAAAGTAGACCGGGGTTAAGGTTTGGTACTATAATTTCGTTTGTTGTAATCGGCCTTCCTCCCCATTTTGACCGTATTACCACCACTCTTTTCTGACCCTGCTTGTTTGTACCTTCTTTATCTGTGCTTCTTCATTGGCAAAAACTAGGCCGTTTGACTGATTAACATAATTTTGCGATTAAGACTGCTATTAAGAAATGTGAGCAGGAACAACACAGAATGACAAAGGATAATAATATAAAACGAGAAATGCTTAAAGCATACTGTTAAAAGAGACCTCTACAGGGTGACTTTCAAACTTTTTTGTGCACAGCTTTTTAGTACGAAGAATGAGTGCATGATTCCGAAATGGCGTCATGATTTTTTTGGTTAGATAAGTGGCTGAAAGATATTTGATTAGGTACCTTTTGTCTGAATTTGAAATAAGCAAAGAAATCGTTTTTAATTTTCGAGGTATGGGTGTGTAATTCAAGCTTATTTTTGCTAAGAGCAGCTTGTCACAGCGTTTGTCAATCTCTGTGTTATTGAAAATTGTTTTATTCACTTTGATAGGGTGTAATTGGTGACCAACATTGGCAAGGAATAATTCCGCGCATCATTCAAGATATTTTTAACTACATCTACACGATGGATGAAAATCTGGAATTTCACATAAAGGTATTCAATCTTTATAGAGCAGTTTTACTTTTGTTTACGATGTTGAGTCTTTTTAAAGTTAATCTTGGAACACTGAGAGCGAAGAGGTGTCATTCATAACAGGGCTGATATTGTGCATTTAAACATCAGACTGCTATTGTCAGTAGAAAAAGTTTACATCAAAATAATTATACTTTAAGTTATCATATTTTATAGTTATCATTTATTCATATATTTATTGGTTTGTTAGTTTGTTTCTTGTTTATATATTTGTTTGTTTATTTATATATTTATTTTATTTATTTATTTATTTATTTATTTATTTATTATCTATTTATTTTTTTATTTATTTATGTATTTATTATTTATTTATCTATCTATTTATTTATTTATTTATTTATTTATAGTAGAAGATAGGCTAGAAATGAGACATATTCTCTGTTACTCCGATTGTCGTGCTTGCGCATTCATCAGACAGACTATAATGAAAATATTCCTGCTTCCGCGGTATAAATGTACAAAAGATGTGATGAAGTTTGACAAAGGAAATGTTATTAGATAGAGGTTAATTAGTTAGGTAGAATTCTATTGTTCATAAGATAAAACTTGTTTTCGTGTCGGCATTTGGAGATTAATTCGGATCGTTTGTTTAGAAGAGTGTTGTTATTTGCTTTGATGATGTATAGTTTTTCTGTTAAGCATAGGTCGCACCTTTTTGTAATGTTGTTGTATGGTTTGTGCAGTATAGTACCACAGGCTAACTTCCACTTAAGTCTGAAACAGTTCAACCAATCTCTCGATTTCTATCAGGCCTTTTTGCGTGGTCGCACCTTTTTGTAATGTTGTTGTATGGTTTGTGCAGTATAGTACCACAGGCTAACTTCCACTTAAGTCTGAAACAGTTCAACCAATCTCTCGATTTCTATCAGGCCTTTTTGCGTGGTCGCACCTTTTTGTAATGTTGTTGTATGGTTTGTGCAGTATAGTACCACAGGCTAACTTCCACTTAAGTCTGAAACAGTTCAACCAATCTCTCGATTTCTATCAGGCCTTTTTGCGTGGTCGCACCTTTTTGTAATGTTGTTGTATGGTTTGGCTGAGGTGATGATGGTCCATTGTATGTCATAATCCTTGTTTTTGTCCTTGAGTTCTCAGATGTATTTTGACAGTTCGGTGCTGTTGGCGTATTTTTGGCTGCGGAATGAGGGTTGGTGCTGGGTAAATCTTTGTTTAAAGGTTCCTTCTGTTAGGCCAATGTAGTTTTTGCTGACAGTGTCTTCGGTTGTTGTGATATGTGCGTTGTAGATGATGCTGGAAGAGAGGCAGTTGTTATCTAGTGGGCATTGGTCTTTTTTCGGCAGTTGCATGTTTTCTCATTGGTAGTGGTGGGATTGTTGTTGATGATTTTCTTGTTGTGTTTGCTAATGATTGGTTGCATGTTTTCCATACAGCTGTAGCTTGCTTTCATGGGGTTCTTGTTGAAGATCTGATAGAATTTGTGATTCTTGGGGAACTGCTTGTGTATGAGCTTGAGGAAGGTTCTGCCGATGTTAGTTTGTACACTCTTGTTGTATAGGGGGGGGGGGGGGTTGTACCAGATTATGTTGCGCTGCCTGTTTCTTCTTTTTTGTCTAGGTGATGTGCGGTTGTTGTATCTCAGGGTGTCTGGGTATCCACTGGTTTTTAGGGCGTTTTCGTAGATGTGCTTGGCTTTGTTGAATTCACTTTCGTTGCATGATGTGTCAGTTATTCTACGGTTGATTGCTCCCGGTAGATGCTTTATGATGTTGGGAGGATGGTTGGACTTTATGTTGATGTATAGTTGCTGGTCGTTGGACTCTTTGTATAGACAGTACGATTGATTTGTTAGGGTTAGTGTTACGTCGAGGTAGTTCACAATTTTTAGGTTGGTCTGTATGGTGATGTTAAGGCTGTGATACTTGAGAAGTTTTGTGATGTCCTTCCTGATTCTTTCTGCCTGTGGGCCAGAAGTGTTCCTAAAGACAGCGAGTTCGTCGTCTCTGTATAAACCTATGTTGTCTTTCCCGTATTTGGCGCACAGCTTGCTGAGGATGAATAATCCAATCAGTTCACAAATTCCCGCGCCGTCAAAGCTCCCGATAGCAACATCAAACATTTGGCTGTCTTGTACCGAATTTGTAAACTTTGTCAAGGTACACCCTCACAAATTGTAGCAGGATCGCCAGATGTACCAAATTGTTTAGGCACACTGTCACTAATTGTAATAATCCCGAAAATTGTCTTCTCACGCTCCCATTTGTAACAAAACTCAACATGCTCACGAAATTCTAAAAAAACGGCCTAAAACTAGGTCCCAGTCCTAATCTAACTACACGTCATAAATGTACTTTGCGGACTAGCGCAACGGAACGAAGAAAACAATGTCGCAAATAACTAACTAAAATCAGTTCAGTCTTTCTTCGTCCATGTATTTCCTTTGTTTAATAGGAGAGATTTGCGGGAATGCATTATGATGTTGGTATCCTTTTCAGTGATTTTGCAGTATTTCTTGGCGAAGGAGATGGAGTCAGTTAGGAATTTTCGGTTATTGAAGGGTAGAAATTTTCAGTGTTGAAGATAACAAAAGTATGTTGATGTTTGTTTGGTATGCTGGTGAACCAGTTGATTACAGATGAAGTGTTTTTCCACTGCTTTAGGGTTGTTAGGTTTCTGATAGTCGTGTCAATTCTGCCCAGGATCTGTTTGTCGATACGGCCTATTTCGCTTTATGCGGGGTTGATTAGTCTGCAGGTAGGGTTGTTCTGGAAATTTTTGTGTGTATGTATAAAATTAGTTATTTATGTATAAATTTATGTATTTATGTATAAATTTATGTATTCATGTATAAATTTATGTATATATGTATAAATATATCTATTTATTTATTTAATCATTTATTATATGTAGGTTGTAAATGCAGTGCACTCAGATACCAAAATATTTTATAGACCAACCCTTAAGAAGACACAATAACAAAATTTGTGTACATAGTTTTGAGCAAGCAATGTAATCATCATCTAGAAACCCGTAGGAAAACCAAGTGGGAACATATTGCTTTGATATTTTGTTTCAACTAGTAATATTAAAGGTCTCAGACTGTTCTCCTCCTTGATTAAAACTTATGCTACAGAGCACCAAAGGCTGACGTCATCAAAAGTATTTTTTTAGAATTCTTAACTTTTGATCACATAGCCTGGAAGAGCAGCAAGAAGAACCCCTAAAAAAATGCAAATTCAGTTTATTCCATGACACATTAACTCAGATTTGTTTGCCAATCGCTGTTACTTTAGCTTTGGTGTAAATTCTAAAATATGTTACTTACACCGGAAAATAGGCCACCTTTCTTACGCCCATTTTGTACTATCTTGAAATTTTGACGCACATACAATATTTCCCATTTATAGCAAATACGATATCGATTCTCCATAACGAGTGTACTTTCAAACGCAAGGCGTCAAATTGTCGCGAAATCCAACGAATCTGTCGTCTAAGCCCAGACTTTGGGTATTTGTTATCTTGTATACAGTAGAAAAAGGCACGTTGTCCCGTCTTTGCAGCGTGTTTATGATCGAGAAATTGTGAAATAGCCCTGCGTTGCCGATTGGGTACGTAACAATAGGTCTATTGTGTAGTCCAACCAATAAGAAACTTAGATGGATTGCGAAATGCATCGAGACATGATGCTTAAGGCTATATACCAGTAAGACTCTTGTCCCACATTCTCAGGATTTCTATTTTTAAAGGGTTTCATGGCACTTTTCGAATAAATATCATGTTTTGTGAAAAATTTCCTTCGGTATTCTTTTTTATAAATAATGAGCAAGGTTTTCCTGGTATTCCGCTTTTATCTTTTTCAATTGTTTTAAAGTTTACAAGTAAAGTTCAGGTCTCAGATATAGAGGTCACGATAGGTGTGGTAAGAGAGAGTGTTATCTAATTAAAGGCTAATGTTCTTTGAGCACAATTAGTCATTTTTGTTGAAAATTGAATTGAAATTTTAATGTATTAAACACTTTTCTAGGTTTCTTACTACGAGATATATCTAGACAGAATTAGGGATTTATTAGATGGTGAGTAGCCTTTGGTTTCCTAAATCCATCCCTCAGTAACTTGATTAATTCCCACAAAACCAATTAGAATTCGCCCAGCCTATCCTTAACCACTCTAAAACCAATCTCATGTTGTGAAGACATCCGCAGATATTTTTGGTCTTCAATTTAAAGAGACGTCTTGCAGACGTCGAGGGTTCATTTTATGTCATTTTTTTTCTTCTCCCTACTTCTAATTTAAATGTTTCCATTTTAATACTACCCCTCCTCTTTCCAAAGTGTAATCAAAATGCTACTATGCTATTTATTTCATCGTTTTTTGTCGATAAATATGGACAATGATTCTAACCGCCCCGTACGAGCTTCTCTTCCCTGAGGAGTCATAGGCTCTTTCAGGACCAAGTCTCTATACTCCTCAAGATTTTCCTTAGCGCTAGCAAATTATTCTTTTATATATCATTCGTTTTTTCAGTTTTTTCACACCGTCACAAACAGAATTATTAGAAAAAGATTGGAAAAAACTTTTGTATCCATATAATCATATCTTTGTATCCATATAATCATGAAAAGTGTATCGTCTTTTCTTTCATCGGATTTGTCTTAGATTCATGTTAGCATCTGTCGCAATATACTTCAAACCAAAGCTGTGTCCTCAAACTCTGTTTATCCTTCAGAATCTTTTTGTGTACCTGATGGAAATTTTTTTAAAAGTAACAACATCAGTTTATGTTATACATTGTTTCAGTTCTATTAACACTGATCCCTGTCCTTTTTCCCAATTTTCAGTGACGAAGACGAATCTAGCTGTTCACGAGGATCGTAATCGTGTTCCCTATGTGAAGGTTTGTCATATTTACTTCTAAAAGACCGTATGACTTTTGCCAGTTACAGTAATCGTAACATTGATATGATACTATATGATATATGATATATGATATATGATATATGATATAATATGATATGATATGATATGAGCTGTACTGATACTAAGCAATTGTTGATATTCCTGATATTAATCGTGTTCTCTATATGAACGCTTGTACGTTAACGATACAGAGCTATGTAACTTTAAGGCTCTTGGATGGAGAATATGCTTGTTCTTTGTATAGTGTAGTTAAGAGAACTTGTATAATACAAAATTGATTCTTTTTAAGCATTCCAACTCACCTGTGTATTGTAGTAAGTTGTGTCTGAAATACTTGCGAAAAGTCCTTCTTTGTGCTACTCATGATTTAGATAACAAAATGATTTTTGAATCTGCCTTTAAAGGGTGCATCAGAAAGATTTGTATCTAGTCCAGAAGAAGTCATGGAAGTTATCGCAGAAGGAAAAGCTAATAGACACATTGCTGTGACAAGTATGTAGTCTTGTATTTTGTTTTTTATATATTTTCAGTTGGTCAGGACCCCTTACCTGGCTAGTTTAGTATCGAAGGTCCGTTTTTTACTGTCTCCATTCTTTTCTTTGCTAGCTATTTGATACAAAATATTTTGCCATGTATTTAGTCGAACTTTTTTTCAAATTATTTTTACTTTTAATATATTTTTTTTAGCCTAAATTTGCTATTATAAGTTTTGAATGGTTTTCTTTTTTCATTAAATGATTAATTTTTTTATTCTCGTCCATGTGATTTTTTTTTATTCCTTTGTAAACCTTGATTTCTTCTAAATTTCATGTAGAAAGCTGACTGAATTTTTAAACAGCCCTAATTTGGAAACGATTTTCTATGCCTTGTTCAATCATTTTTCAAGAATGAATTGGCAATTAATCCTCCTTTCTCTATCATCTTCATTTATCAACTGGCCAAAGACACATTTTACTGTTACTCGTTAAAATAGTAACTGTTTACGCTGCCTTAATTACTTGACTGCTTAAATACCCAACAAAAGTACTTTCCTTTCACTTCTTTCTTAAGCTTGTTATTGATTAGTAGGTAATAGGCTCTCGTACAAGCATCTGATTTGCAATTGCGATGAGATGCAACATTTCAGATCTTACTTTTTTACAGACATGAATGAACATAGCTCTAGGAGCCATAGCATCTTTTTAATTAATGTGAAACAAGAAAACACAGAAACGCAGAAGAAACTTAGTGGTAAATTGTATCTGGTCGATTTGGCTGGCTCCGAAAAGGTACGCCATTGCTTTTTATTCTGCAAATTTGCAAACATTTTTGTATTTGTTACCTTAAAGAAGGTATTTGCGTTAGTATTGCTTCTTTTGCAATTTGGGCCCCTTTTTATTCCAAGAAACATTGGTGCCTTTTGGTTTAGTGGTATCAAGTTAAAGCATAGCATCAATACGTTGAATTTGTCTTTGATTTTAGTTGTGATAAAAACGAACTTGTCCATTTGCTTTAAGTTTCTCGCAACTTCATTACCTGATACTTTCTTGATTTATCAGACTAAAGTTAAAACAAGACGAAGTTCTTTTCACATATACCATATTTTGATTTTATTTTCATCTTAAAAGGCCCTTCGATAAAGTAATCTTAATAATTAGCAACTCTTTGCTATGTAATATTGAACTTTTATGTTCTATAGCCAAAGACTCGATGATAATTCTGGTGTGAACAAATCGTTTCAAACAGAATGTTGTTGTTTCTTATCTAATTCCCCTCCTTGATGCAGTATGCCCATTCTTATGCGGAATGCCCAAGTTTACTTTAAGATCTTTCCGATATGCAGGTTAGCAAGACTGGTGCGGAAGGCACTGTTTTAGATGAAGCGAAAAACATCAACAAATCCCTCTCAGCCTTGGGAAATGTTATTTCGGCCTTGGCAGAAGGCAGTGTAAGTACTATTTATTTTGGTTGTATTTTATTTCATGTTTATTTGCAGTATTTAATTTTTGTTCTTGCATTAGCTTTAGTTCAAATGATGAGCAGCCAAAAAATCGATAACATTTTTTGCAATTTTTGGTAATTAAACCACTTTTTCAGATGTCGTTTTAAAGTTTGATTATCGTTTACCCGACAAAATGCATTTCGAAGGTTGTTTTGAATTCCTCCCATCCGTGTAGCTAGCATTTTGCATAGAACTGGATAAGTGGATTTGTAACTTTTTTATGTTTTGATCTGAATCATGTTGGAGGTGAAAAAACGCTAAATTTTTTCAGACATTAAATTTTTAGTCTTCCAACATATGCCAAAAGTAACCAACCCTGCTACTGCCCAATCAGACGGCAGGAATAAAAAAGGGACTGGGGCAATAAATCTGTTCAACAAATATTTTGTTTGCCTGCTTCAAAAAAAAAACAATATGCTGCCATTGTGAACATTCTTACCCTCGTCCCATTGCGAAAACTGGCTGCTTAACTGATAGGCAACCTAAAGACAATCGCATGTTGTGTGGTATGAGCATTCTGTCCTTTCTTTTTAGCAATATATCCCATATCGTGACAGCAAAATGACAAGGATCTTACAAGAAAGTTTGGGTATGCTCTTTGGTTTGATATTGTCATCGACTTTTGAAATCAAATAGATGTAATTTTAATGTTTATCAAGCCCACTACACGTGATTCGGATTTTGTGAATCTTGCAATGAGTATAATTCGTATATGAGGATAAAATTCAGGAACAAAGCAAAACGGCGAAGAGAATCCAATGTTATAAGATAAATTTTCAAAATAAATTAAATTAATGTATGCTTTGTTTATCCAATCTGAATTTGTAAAACTTACCAAATGGCTTTTGAATTTTTTTCTAGTAGCAACTTAAGTGTGTCGTTCTGGTAAATCCACCAAAATGCCATCTTTTTCCTTGTTTATTTTAACCCTGAGTTATCTTGATATTTTCTTGATTCAGTTACAGCCTCTTCTTCCTTAATTCCTTAATGATGCTTCGTGTCAAACACCTTTATGAGTTAATTTTTTCCTTTAAGGTGGTAATTCAAGAACTACTATTGTTATTTGTTGCTCCCCGTCTTCTTTCAACGAAGTGGAATCCCGGTCAACTCTTTTATTTGGACAAAGGTAGGTGACCCTTGTACATTTCCTGTCAAAATATTATCGGTCTGTTTAGCACTGTCTTTGTATTTGTTGCTACCTCATTTTCGAAAGTAGTTTTGGGACACTGAAAAGCTATGCTTATTGGCACTGTCCTGGTCCTTCCTCTCGATGATACCTATACCTGGAATTACAGAAAGCTAGCGACTACCCTCACACTTACTGATAGTTTGGTTCTGTCAGGGACTCTAACCCAATGAGTCTGTAGTCCACGACCCTAACCACTAAGCCACCTCTTCTGCCTTATGTATGTTTTTTTGGAATACCAGCTTCTTGTCCAGTTTGGCCTAAGCTAGCACAGAGAGATTGACCGTGACTCGTGGTTTATGTGCAGTTTTTAAGCTACCATCGATATTATCTCTTGTTCAACAGACTGGCAATATAATTATTGATTTTCAGGGCCAAGACGATAAAGAACACCGTTGTAGTCAACGAGGAATTAACAGCAGGCAAGTAATTTTTAAAAAAAGGCTTTGAAAAGATATGCGATTTCAGAATGAGTTTAAGACTTCAAATTAATGACCTGAAGCGTGCCAGACGGAGAGCTAAACTATGTCTTGATTTTTTCAAAGCCTTGAAAATAGCCAATGTCTTGGATTTTCAGATTTATAAATTTTTCCAAATTAAAATATAGTTGATTTTGTCAGTGCTTTTATTTTATATTTTGAGTAAAGATGTGTTTGAACTATGCCTAATTGTAAGCGCTAAATGAATACAAAAGCTACTGGTAAAGCTTTGTTATATCTCATCGAAGATAAAGCTCTGTCCATGGATTAGCTCATGTGTCATGCGAGCAATATTGTAAGTAACGTGTCTCTGTTTTCTCTCTCGAACAGAGGAATGGAAGAGAAGATACGAGAAAGAGAAAGAAAAGAATGGGAAATTACGAGCAATGCTACAACATTTGGAAAAGGAACTGGGACGCTGGCGAAATGGGGAATCTGTACCTGTTCATGAACGTATTACCTCATTAAAAGATCACAAAATAACCGAACCTGTTGAGGTGCCCCAAACACAGGCAGTGTCTCAGTCCCCCAGCAAATCTGTGGTGACAGTTGTAAATAATGGACTAAGCGAAGAAGAAAGAAAAACATTCGATGAAGAAAGATCCAAGCTGTATGTGCAACTTGATGAAAGGGTGAGATAAACTTGTTTCTTTCATAATGTGTATACTTGATCAACAATGTAATGACAGTTTTTACTCGGTGGCTCCATCTGGCTCTATTGCTGTAATCATGAAAAGATGGTTTCCATTTGCCTGTGAAATTGTGTAGCCATGGGCCAACTTCCTATCATTGTCATATAACAAAAGATGAAATATTATCTTTCTAATTTCCTAAATTTTTAAAAAGATGACTTGCAAGCTAAGGAATAGGCATGTAGTCTGTAATCCAGCTTGTCTCTGGAAGGGAGTCTTGTCAGTAAAACTGGCACATGGTTGTGTTGATTTTTTAATCAGATTCAGGTATCATTTGATCAACTACATTCAAAGTCTTCTCTTGCTACGCGCATGTGGAACGAAAAGTTTCTGTTTGACGAAATATTGGTCCTGAAACGGTGCTACTTTATCATAGAGCAAGAGAGAATCATTTATTCGTATCACCTACGCCTTTATTAATATTTCAATCTTCTTTCAAATTAGGACGACGAAATACAGTCCCAAGCAGCATTAATAAATGAACTGAAGCAGCAGCTCTCAGATATGGAAGATGTAAGTTGAGCAAACTTGTTACAACCTTAGTTTAAGACATAAAATTCCGAGGTTGCAATCGACAATAAGACACGTCGTGTATTTCGCATTTTTCGAATGATAGATTTCTTGGATGTGGCATGGCTTTGAATACAGCTATATAGAATTAAATTCAGTATATACATCAAGTATTTCTCATCAAAACTATATTAGTGAGATTAAGTCCACAAGGATGAATTCTTCCTGCATAGTTTTACATTGTTTTCTTGCTTGAATTGTAGTGCTTTTCAACTTTATTTTGATCAATCTATCTGTATAAGTCCAATCATCAATTAATTGCTTAACAGGATTTTAACTCTATTTGACTTGACTCTAAAATTGAGTTTTATTATTAAAAAGAGAGCTAGGATAGTTATTACTAATTTATACCCAAGAGCATTCGAAATGTTTCTTTACGGTGAAATTGTTCTGTAATGCTTAGAATGTTTTGTGAAGAGAACAGAATGGAAAGATTCTTTGGTACAACAGCCTTAGAATGGTACCCGGAATTGATAATTTGCAGCTCCCAGCAGGTTTTTCCTAGAAGAATTCTTGTGCTATATCTTAACTCCTACTACGTCATTTATCATCATCAAGATAGATATCTATTCCAGAGGAACATTCTTTTTTTCAGTCTTTGGCATTTACCAAGGCAAGCTCAGCTAGTTTAGAAAGCCAGGTGAACCAGATAACGAAAGAGAATGAATCGTCAAAAACGGAAGTGAAAGAGGTATTACAGGCACTCGAAGAACTTGCTGTTAATTACGATCAGAAGTTGCAAGAAGTCGATCAAAAGTCGAAGGAAAACGAAACTTTCATGGAAGAGTTAAACACAAAGCAAAGTGAACTTACAAAAGCTTTAAAAGATGTCGAATTGCTAACGGAAACGATGAATATAATGAAAAGAAAGATAGCAGAAATCACCAACATTCTGTTGGAAGAACTAGTAAGATTCTCTCTAACTTCTTTTATCTTAACTTTTTGTACGCCGTACATAGTACAGTTGGGTTTCCAGCACATTTTTAAACTATATTTAAACTATATAATTGATCAGCATGCTTTATGACAAATGGAAGGCAGTATTCAGATTCAAACTTATTTGCTAGTGACTGTACCGATTTTTTATGTCACTGGGGGGAAAAGAAATCATGTTAAGTCTTTTCTTGCGTCTACGGAGAAATGTTCCTGTGTTTATACTTTATCACGGGGAAACATCTTGATTGATTGAAAGGGAATGTATACCCCACCAAAGGAATAAAGGCACACCGAAGAAAACAATGCGGGAAAAGAAATTCAGAAAAAAATCATAGGAATACATCAGGACAGACCTTCGCTTGATTCCCAACAGTCCTCTATTCCTATGATTTTGTTCTGTCTTTCTTTTTCCGCATTGTTTTCTGTGGTGTGCCTTAATTCCTGGTTTATCCTTTCAGGTTGTTTATTATTCCTTGTGTCTTCTCTCGCGTCCTGATTGCTCTTCTAGCGTACTGCTTTATCACATCATTTTCTATCCCCTTTGTCTAACCTTTCCGTATTTAAAGTTGTTTTTCCCCGTAAATTTATAATGAAGATGACTCTAGCTAGAGTCGAAACGTTTATCTTAATTCAATATAATGCACTTGTCTATTTAATGGGAATTATCTAATACCGGATTTGTCTTTTTATTGGATTGTCATGTAACAAGATGTCGAATGTTCCAAAAATTGTGTTTTTTTCTTTGCCGTGGTACTTGTTATTAATTTTATCATCAAGCTGCAGTTTCCAAAGTCTCATCCTATAGCAAAATGGACAATATTCTGCTGTTTCATGTTTCTGCTTTTTCTTTTTCCAAAAATTTTATGAATCTATAGAGACGTTAATAGACCTGAATGCTTTAATCACTTTTTCAGAAAAATTTATAAACACATTATGTTTTAGGTATTATAGTCATTAAATGAATGACCATTCGCTCTTTTTTGCAGGCCGAGATTGGGCATGTTGTCGGTGGATCACTCTCTGGAGTTAAGGTTTGGCTATGTTTATGAATCAACGTTTTATTTGAAGATCTCCACAGTACAGACTTCTGCTTATTTGTTTGAAGATCTTCACACTACAGAGTGCTGACCACTTACAAGTTGAAACATCGTCTAAAAGGTCCCCTACTACAAACGTCCTTCCTACTACAAATACACAAAAATACATTATTCGAAAATGCTACAAACTAAAGCTAGAAAATGAATCCCACGTTCGATTATCCTAGACTAATTGTGTCTTAAAATATTTGCAAGGAGTTTACTTAGTTTTTCCTTTGAGGCCCATAGCACCTTTTACTGTTCTTTGCGAAATCAGTTGAAACTTGGGAGAAGATTCTTTATAGTTGTAAATAAGTGCGATTGCTTGCCTTTTTAGGTAAGCAGAGGTATTTCCGTACACGTGTTCGTGCATTTATTTAACAGGTTACGTGTAGGCAGTCTTTAATCCGTGGACGGTAAAAAAGCCTTAATATCTGATAATTTTCCGTTGCAGTTATGTGGAAACCTTTGCAAGCTATATATTTTGGTTCTTGTGTTGAAATGCCAATTATTTTTAAATATTGAACAGAAGTAAACTCCCTTCTTTCATTTGCTAGTTGTTTTTTCTTTATCATTCAGTGGCATATTAGACAGTAGAGGACACCTTCGGGGCGAGGGAGGGGGACAAAGGCCTTTTGTTGAAAAATTGGAAAATGTGACGTCATCTTTTCAAAACAACAGACTTGCCTCCACCACCCTCCCACCCCCCGACTTTCCTTTCCAAAGGTTTTTTCTTTTCGACCGAATGTCTTAATTCTGCTAAATCAAACGAAGGCTTATATGTTTAGTACTTTATATCGACTCGGTGGAAAGGGCTGTTTTCTATTCCTTTTTTTGTTTTTTCAGAGACCGTCTCTTGAGAGCCAAGGCCAGCTTGACGAAGAATTCACTATTGCAAGACTGTATGTTAGCAAGCTCAAAACAGAAGTTAAGACCCTTGTCACCGTAAGCACAAGTTACTCATGACTTGGTTGGGAAGATCATATTTGTTTTGAGCATAAGAACGTAGTGCAAAAAATTGTGCCTTGCCTATTATATAGATGTATCAAGATTCCTTATACTAAAGCTTGATTTTACGAGTTTACATAATTCTGAGTCGAGTTGAAAATTAAATCATGGTACAATTTAAGTAAGGCTGAGTTACCATGAGCTCTCGACAGCATGAGATATCGTGAGTTAGATTAGCCAATTCGCTGATTCCGTTTCCGTGATAATCGAAATACTAGGAATCGATTGTAAATGAATGATGTCACCTTGTTCTCTTATCTCCAAAATCTCGTTCAAATTTGCAAAGTGATAGCACCTTGTTTTTTTATCTCCAAAATCGTTTTTTTCGTGAGTAAGATATCAGTAAGCCATTTTTTGTTATCAAAAGTACCTTTTACTGTAAGTATGTTATCCAAAGTTGAACCATGAGTTTGAAGTCATAAAAAATTAATTTTCAAGGTAACGTTTTTTTTTATTTTTGTTAAATACTTTTTATCAAGAGCTTATCCAGCACGAGACAATTTTCAACCCACCTCAGATCATAGAAATATCTCAAATCAGCTCATCTTAACTCTTGGGAAGCTTAAATCGCTCTTTGTTTTATAATGGACCAGAAACTTTGCCCAGGAAGTATTTTCTATCGTCACCTTAAAGGCTTTATCGGCTCAAAGTTTTTTTTCAGTTTATTGATTAAAGGAAGAAAAAATCGAAAATCTGTTGCTCAACTCTTTCATAAACTTCAATTCTCACTTTCTCAAATCTTTTTCCTAACTTCCTGAACATCTTGTTCCTTGTTTTTCCAAGGCTGTGCTGTAAATGATCTTAGACCAGTGCAGATCAATATTTCTCAAATACCAACATAAATATTTATCCTTGTCTTTTTCAGTCAAACAAAACTTTGGTACAAGTCAAGAAGGATAGTCAATCAAAATTGGATGTAAATGAGAAAGATCTCGCGGCGGCCCATTTGTTAATATCCCAGGTAATCATTCTTCATTTTGACATGTTTCCAGCCACGTGACTCTTTGTTGACATGTTTCCAGCCACGTGACTTGATTCTTTGAAGGGTAGTGGCTCTGCTAGATTATCAATTCATTGTTCTGGACGTTTGTAGATTTTTTCATATTGAATATTATACGCCCTTCGGTTTGATTCCTGATTGGTAGGCATATCATTATTTAAGAAACGCAGCATACATATATAAAGATTGTAGCGACCATCTGCTACTGTAAACAACCTGAAAGACTTCGCAATGGAAACCAGCTTTACTGTTGTGAATCGTCTTCTGTCTGATTTTAAAAGTCGAAAGATCCTTTGACTAAGGGAATAAGTTTAGTTATGAAATTCTGGTCTTTTTAGGAAGTAAATTCACATTTGAGTTAGGATAAATCTAATGCTGAAAAATAATTAAATCTTGAGAAAAACGAAAAATGGCCCTTTCAGGATTGATTTGAAGTCTTAAATGCCTAGTCTAAAGCTGAATAGATATTTTGCAAGATTAGGTTCAGAATGTTTTTCCGATTTCAGGAAGAAAAGTAATACCTGATTAGCTGAAAGATTATTTGCGTTTTTCTGCAGATATTCAGCTTTAGTCAGCATATGAATTCTCTATTTGATGTATAAAGCCATTTCAGATGTTAGGGATAATTTTTAAACTTGATTTTCCGCCCACGGTTTTTATCGTAACCAAAATATTTTTTGCCTTTTCATAGTGGCTTTGATAAAGACGATTTCTGCTGACAAATCCGTATTCTAAAAAATGAGAGAGTGTTTCGACAAAAAGCGAAAAAGTCATGCTAAATAATCCCAAAGGGGCTCCTTCCTAGCAAGCAATCTTACTGCAACATTTTCACATCGCTGATGAGTCATTGGTCTATGATGGAAATTTTCTTTAACCCTTTATCCTCAGTCTTTCTTCTACGTTAGTAGATTTCGTCTCTAAACCAAATATTATCCAATTTTGGTCACGGCCAAGCAAGGACAATACTTTGAATTTTTGTGCAAGAGGTTAGAAAGAAAGAATTTAGTCAAGAAGAGTTCAAATTTGCCTAGTCAGTTGCCTTCTTTATCAAATCAACGAACGTCCAATGACAATGTTCTGTAGAATTCTAAGATAATGAATGGCTAATTTCCTTCTCATTCAATAATATGGAATGGTGAATTTCATTCTCATTCAATAATATGAAACCCCAGACCTCAGTGAACGGCTTACAAAGCAGCACGTGGTCTCCTCTTAACAAATAACATCTGTTACTTTGTAAAACGCAGCTTTTGTGTCATGAAAACAGATGAAATACTTTTTCCAGCACTTTTGTGCGATTATCATCCATCAAGCCTTCTTTGTTGACAAAAATGAATAAATTAAGGCTCTGTTTTTGGCTTCCGTTGTCTTCTTATAAAATTTTCATTGCTATCCTTGTTTCATTCTAATGAGCGCCAAAATTTTCTACCAAAGTTCTATCAGTTAACAATTAACTCTGCGTTGTTTAGTTATATATTGTTTTTTTGCCGGATACAGCCCCCCGCACCCCTTACCCCTACCTCGGCTCCGTAACTATAACGACAGTGGGAATTTCATTCGCACACGTGTGACCAAATAGAATATAATTTTAAAATGTGTATTGCACATTGGAGTTTGTTAATATTTCTCTAATGGAGCACAGGGTAGTTGAAAACAACATAAATAGAAGTATATTTCCATCATAGTAGGATTGCATTTAGGCCCGTTGTCAGCTTTCACACGAAGCCACACTTTCTTGATTTTCTCCGATGTATGGCTAATGATGCCATAGCATAGCAGCTTGGAGAGGGTCGATATCAATTCAGCTTCAAATGTCTTGGTTGTTGGATTCTTCGTTTCCTACAGTATTACAATTGCACGAATCAGTTTCATGTTATGATTTGCATGAGTGTAATATCCTCTGGCGTTTCAGGTTTTATACGATGGAGTGTCGGCGTGAAGATTAACCTTTCTTTGACTTGCCGTTTAACGCAATGCCGACTGAATTATCAGACATTAATTTTGTCGGAGGCCCAGTTGAATGAAAATGAACTATGATGTTATCGTAAGAAACTCGTTTTGTTTGAAAAATTGGCTGAGATCGGTCTTTGTATTATTCGTTTGAATTCCACAGTTTCTTTCCCCGTAATTGGTAAAACGATGTTGATTTTGTCCTTGAAGCCTGCGCGATAGTGAAACACGATTGCAGTCATTGTTGTTTGACCTCGTGTTCTTCAAACGAAATCATCGCGCCCATGTGTCATATGTCATTTTCTAAACTTCTTTGATGTTTCCCTCTAACCGTCTGTAATATTTTCTTTCTTGGAGTTAATTTCGCCTTTCGACCGGCATCTTCGCTGGGCTAAATATTTCCCGTAACCGAATGGATCCAAAGTCATGAAATAATAGATTTTCTGTGTGGCCTTTGCTTCACAGTTTTGTAATAATTTTTAACATTCTTCTTTAACAATTATTTGCTTATTCCTCTTTAGAAGATATCCTCTATAACTGAGTCCTAAGACATACAAAAATTATGAACCATAATGCTGATCACCTTATTCTTAAGAAATTTTTTGTAAATCCTTTCATAGATGGGGTTGAAATGATTCTTTTCAACGATTAATGGCTAATATCCTCTTAAATTGACATTGGAAGAAAGAATAGAAAGAAACGCTCCTCGTAATGTATTAGGTATATTTTTGTGTTTCTAAAAAGTTCCTCTTAAGCATTTGGTATTCAAGAAGTTTCAAAGAAACTTTTAGCACTGCAATTAACAAAAGTTAAGAAAATGAGTGTTAATCCGGATCAAATTTTCTTATAAAAAATGAATGCAGTCGTGTGAGGTAAGGTTAGATAAGTGTATGAAAGGTAAGGAGAGATAGGATAGGTAGAGTAAGATTAGGCAAGATAAAGTAAGTAAGATGAAATAAGGTAAGCTAAATCGAAATCGTTAGAAACTTGGGGCCGCGTTGTTATTTGGTTTCCTTGCGTATTCCATATACTCACTAAAGAGTTGCGATGTTATGTATGACCCACAAACACGTCATTCGTTCTTTGTTTTCAACGGCCTATTCTTTATGGAGAAAAGTGATTTTTCAGTTTTCTTGGGGAGTGTAGTGGGAGGAAGAGGTTGGTTTATGAGTGTTTAAAGATAAACAGTCAAAGTTACTTGTACTTGCTTTGGTAGCACAGAAATGAACTCCGTTAAGCATGTCTCTGATTGCCCTGTAGCATTTTGAATCTACTTCAAGAGCCAAGGCCTTCTTTTCTGCTCAATGTTTTGATTAATTTGTTTTAAACTGAAGATCCTTATTTGCGTGGTTGACATTTTCAGAGAAATTGTTCAATAGGAATTAAAGCTTG